AAGTCATCAATACCATCAAAGTTACATTCCTCAGCATATATACATAATGATTTCGTGGAATATTTAACTTGCCGTCAGACAGTGCTAATGGGCATGAGCAATGAACAGAGCAAATATAAATTATGGTCCGACTATTTAATTTCCTTAATGAAACCGTTTTTAAAGTCGAATGCAGCTGCATCCCATTGGTTGGATGTTCTATTTGGTGGAATGGCAGGATTATTATCTAACGAAGGTAAAAAATTATTGTCCTTTAACAGCGATATTAAACCTCAAGAGTTTGCGGAAAATAGCCTTATATTGGTTCTGTTCAGTAACTATTTAATGAAAATTGAGAACAGGCATCTTCTTGATGTTGATTTCAGAATGGAATTTTCAAGTTATATAAAGAACTATGTTGAGTCTGTCATGAGCAATGAAAGCCATTTTCCAGACGCCAGTTCAGAAAACAGTGATTTAGACTTATTTGTCTATAACTTATATGAGTCATTGAGGTATGTTCCTCTGAAATATCACATTTTGAGTTCCCTGTTATCAAAGAAGTTATTGATTAATTTAACCCAAAAATCATATCAAAGTCAAATCATTTTGAGGAATTTGATCGACGTATTGATTGATCGCGAAGAATACGACGAAGCATATGCTGCGTTTAAGACATATAATAGTTATATCGATAAGGACCAGGAACAACATAATGGGTATATACATGATATTTTATCAATTATCGACATATACTCAACTTGCATTTTACGCTTTAATCCTTTTGATTCCCTTTCGCTTCAATCTAATGATTCGAAGAAGTTTAAATATGTTACCCGAGATCAAATTTTATGCTCATTGGTTAAATTTGTTATTGAATTAAAGACATACTTACACGAGCTTGCAAAGATTTGTGACTTAAATTATGATGACTCTCCAAATAGTAATCAAATTTCATTCTTGTATCTGAAGTATAACGAGAATGTGATTCAGGAAGATAGTTCTAATTTTATCAAGCTAATTTCTAAGGCATGGTATTCTTTAGGGTATTATTATTACTACTTATGCAGCTTTGAGCTGCAAAATTATGAGACCATTGATGCTAATATCGGTAACGTTCTCAAATATTACAAAAACAGTTTGATAATTAATACAACCGGCAATATTTCATATTTGTTCAATTATGCATTGGCATTGTCGTATAATCGGTCAATACAGCCAGCAATTAAATTGTGCAAATTCATTTTAAAAAGGTATCCGGAAACATTCAAGACTTGGAATTTGTTAGCATTATTGCTTAGTTCAATGGAGACGCATAGTTCCGATGAGAATTCACAGAGTCATAAACATACATACCAGGTTAATGTCACCATCAATGGTAGCATTAACGAAACAATGAATGGTAGCGTTAACGGTACAGCCGCATCAAATGTTCAAGTAACTAATATTAGAGAACTGGAAAAGATCATTAATAATGGTCTCAATATTGCAGGTATATATCTTGTCAAAAGTCGCAAACCCAGTCTGAATATTACAAATGATATTAAAATTGATATATTACAATTAAAATTGACTCAGTTGTCAATTTGGGAATCAACATATGGAGCCCATTACATTTTGGAATTTTTACCAGAAGTTTTTATGTTATATAACGAGCTATTCGATATTGATATCGAAGCAGATAAGAACGACGGGGCACATCTTCGAACTAATATTGCTAAATGGTCCCATAGGCCAAGCTTTATTGACCCTTCATCTAACCAAAACAATGGTGTTAAGCAGGAGAGTCATTTATCGAAGGAAAAAAAATTAGCAAAGGATAGAATCAAGAGGATGTCAAAAATACCCAAGCCCAAAGAGAAGCACGATCATTTATCTGACAATAGATCGATGAAAAAATTCAATGTTACAGAAAGAAAAATTTTGCAAGATATCTGGGTATGGACTAGTAAGGTATATTTAAAAGTGGGATTATTGGAAGAAGCTGAACAATGCATAGTAGAAGCAGAACGTATCCATGAGCCCAACACAAAAACTATTACAACTTTAGGCTTAATATGCTCTACCAATAGAAAATTTTTGGCTTTACAAGAATTTGAAAGATCCCTAGAAATCTTGAATGAACCGATAAACTACTACAAGAAAAAGGAATTCGGCATCACTTTACTAGGGTTATGTAAATTGATAATTCTTGATGATAATATTAATAATTCTTTGTTCATATCCACAAAGGATTTAAGCTCTGGCCTAATCAGGTTGAAAAATTATTTAGAGCAGTTTTCCCAAAGTTGGCCTTTCGGCTATAATAACTCTGAAATCTGGTGGTATTTGAGTTTGATTTACGAAAAGATAGACGATAAAGTTATGTTGACTAAAAGCTTATGGAAATGTGTCGAGTTAGAAGATTTCAGACCAGTAAGAGACTTTGATTGTTGTAGTGAATTCATTCCTTAATTATAGGTTTTTAGGTTCTATATATGTATTAACATTTATCTATATAGAAGTTTTATTTCATCTATCGGCGATAATATTGAGGGCTGCGACATTTGTTGCGTATCAACAAAAAAAAAAATCACTCTAAAAGCTGGCATATTTATTATATCAATAAGAATTATGACTGAAGTATTGCCAAAGAACGTTGAGTACTGTGGAGTATGCACATTTCCTCCTGAATATTGTGAATTTGGTCTTTCATTTAAAAGATGTAAGGAATGGTTACAAGAAAATCAACCAGAGTTGTTTGAAAAATTATATAGCGCAGATGCATTGGCAAATGCTACTTCAACCTTGTCATTAGAAAAAGAACAAAAGATATCGCAGGAGTTAGAGAAAAAGCAAGCAAAAGAGGAAGCTAAGTTGGAAAGAGAATTGCAGAAGAAATTATCATCGAAAGTTACAATTAAGAGAATCGAAAGAAACAAGAGAAAGCATGTTATTTCTATTTCGGGATTAGAAGTCTTCAATATTGATATGAAGAAATTAGCCAAAACCTTTGCATCTAAATTCGCTACTGGTGCGTCTGTTACTAAAAACGCTGAAAAGAAAGAAGAAATTATCGTTCAAGGTGATGTAAGTGATGAAGCTAAGGAATATATTGAAAAATTGTTACAAGAGAAAGCATTGAATGAAGTGAAAGTTGAACAAATCGACGAAAAGAAAAAGAAAAAGCCAACAGGACCTTAATTTGTATAATCCATGTTACATACTTATATAATATATTCCTTTCCATCAAGATTTCGTTATATTCTGAAATATTTGATTAAGGTCAAATACTCTTATACTTTTTTATAATAAGGATTTACAAATAGAGATTGTGGAACTGTAATTAGCAATGAAATACATCTTGAATTACATGTAATTGTATGCTATCTATGTTAATGATTCAAATTTGAAACATTGAACCCCAAATATTATATTTGATGTAAATCTATAATGCCGATAGGAATTTTAAACATTCTAGTAGAATCTTCCATATACTTGATAATAATTAAATCTTCACCTATAGTTATACCTTTTTACTTTTAGTATTTAGAACACATTCCAAAAAAAGAAATAGCCATAAGATCGCTGTAAATTAAACAAGAAAACGAATTACATTACTTTCAGTAAGGCATCATAACAGTGTTTCCGATTACTATAGAACGTGTCTTGCGGACTTCATTCTCCTGTGGCTAGAGAGTCAGATACTTAGTTGGTGCAAAAAATTGAGAGAACTCTATCTAATCGATAGTTGAAGTACAGTACATTGCGGTAAGTAAGCCTTTTTTATTTTCTTCTTCCCAAAACTTTGTAGAAGTTTTGCCTTAAATTACTGTTTAAACATTCTTGAGAGATATAATAAACATTAAATGAGTTCATATTCGGTGTTTCGATTTAAATTAAAGTATACAATTTTTCATGCGTCTATTCCGATAGCCGAATTCAAACAACGCGGCACTCATCAACAGAATATTTATGAGTTTTGAATCCTGAAATCCTGAAATCCTATAATTTGGTTTCCTTGAGTCAGTGTACAATAATAGAATGAAATCTATGATTAATCACCGGTTTAGGGCTTATTTGAATACTGTCTAACTAATGAAAAAACAAGAGGTCAATACACTGGACAGGAGACTCGATTACTAAATATTAAGAGCTTATCCTATTGTCTTGCCACACGCTTACTTATTCTTGTGAAAACTTCTTCAGTTAACAATAATAGGCGTGTATATATTTCTTCTGTCAGATTTATGGAATAGGCCATGCGCATGCAATAGCAACGCACATAACAAGATCAGATCTTCTTGTTAGTTGACCCCAATTTCATCATGATGAACTACAATATACAGCACTACTAGCTATCTGTTCTTATTTTCTTAGACTCTTTTGAAGCGTTCGCAATATATACTTTATTATTAGCATACTTGATTATTAACATACTTATTATTAATATACCTTATTATTAACGGTTAGTGTCACAGTTTGATTTATTTCCCTTTACAATTATTTTCTTTTCATAAGAATAGTCAGCATTGATTTTACTCTTTTCATATCAATAACATTGTCAAAGATAATGATCTTAATAAAAAATGACAGCTAACGGTTGAGATAACAGACTTTATTATTGTTGGATTATTATTGCACCAATGTTTCAACTGTTTTAACGTCTAGTTTGAAGCTTGTATTTCAAAAGGCTATGTCCTGTTAATTCCCCGATTATACACAGTATTCCTGAATACAATATTATGTTACATAGTTGCAATCATCGTAATTTATACGAGAGCTTAGGAACTGCATAAATTTATAAGACTTATACATGAAATTGCCTAATTAGATAAGCGCCTCTGCTTCATGTATCATCGTAAACATACATGGACTTGAAACTTTATTTTATTTCCGATTAGCTCCGAGACTACGAAAGCAAACCAAACGACAAAAAATGGAAGAACAAAGCAACATAACCAGCTTACATCTAACGAGTGATTACAGAATCCGTAGATAAAGATATATAGTGAGAAAATGCAAAATGTGGACCCTAAAGTTAGTTGATAATGTATCAATGAATAATCAATTGGTACAAATACTCGAGGACTTCAATGAGAAGGCATACTTTTCTACGTAGCAAATATCTGTTATAATTTATAGTGTATTAGAAGATCATTAATAGATATCTAGTTGTTTAGTTAATATAATCAAACTAGGCTCTCAATATATAATGAATAAATGAAGAATCCTAATGGACATGGTGTGCAATAACATAAGCGGATTAATAAATGAAACATTTTATGCAGAATAAACATCGAAGGTTGTAAAAAAACAGCTTTGGAATAAGCATGAGTCTGATATGTGAATTGGTAATCTAATATCATGAAAGACGTACTGATTTGTAAGGAATGACGTTATTGTAAATCATCGTAAGCTATATATCAGATCTAGGATAACAATTTCGATATTTTTGGATTCTTATCTGATTCTTCAGCATTATCTGGGGAGTTATTACTATTATTATTATTATTATTATGATTGTTGTTGTTGTTGTTGTTGTTGTTGTTGTTGTTGTTGTTGTTGTTGTTGTTGTTATTATTGTTTTTTAATGGAGGTAAAATTGGTGAATTCTTGAGGGAGTTATCTGTCAGCTGCTTAATTTTGTATTCGCTATTAATTGATGGCAAAGAATTATAGGAAAGTGAGTGATTAGAGCTTGATAACTTTGGAGACGTTCTTAATGATGCTGAGGTATTTGACTGAGGTATAGTGGATAAAGGCGGCAATGCTAAGTCTTTATCTTTCATCGTATTCATCATGGATGTAGACATGGTTTGCATGTGCATGGATTGAGGAACTGGTGGAGTTCCAGAATTCATTTCTGATGGAGGTGCTACTGAAACAGAAGGCAGGGGAACCGTATGGCCATTTTGGATATGTGTCATCGGTTGCGCATTGGAATATATGACAGGTACAGCCGACTGGACCATGGGTACTTGTGAATAAGGGATTGCCATATTCGTCACTTGCTGTTGTATCGGCTGAAGCGACACCAATGGTCCGTACGGAGATTGAATTACATGAGCCTGTTGAGGCATGTTCACTGGTGTAGCTGTAGTTTGGATTATTGGGTAAGGAACAGTGAATGTAGTTTGAGGTGCATTAGTGTTAATGAGAACCTCGTTTGGAGATGCAGACGATGAATTGGTGGCTCCAGTGTTAGACTGGGGTGACTTTTCGTTGTCGGGTCGGTCCTGTCTCAAGTGTTGGTTATACTGAGCCATTCTAAGAGCATTTCTTGCATTGGAATCCAAATTCAAGTATGCACAATGCAACTTGCCTTTCAAACAATTCAAACAAGATGGTAAGTTCTCATCACACTTGATTCTTCTCTTCTTACAAGTGCCACATCCCAAATGCGAATTTCTATGCTTTCTTCTTGATGTCTTCTTTCTCTTAAGCGCCGCTTCACTCTCCAACTTCTCGTCCTCCTTTTTAATCGACGGCGGCACCGGATTCTTCAACGCTGAATTGAAAATATCCATCCTCAAGTCTCTTCTATTGTGTGCTTCGTGTTATGTTGCTATATGCCTTTTATGTCCGCGCCTAGTCTATATTAACCAGATTCAATGTCTCAATATGTCCTCAACGATTTTTATAGATGTTTGTTTTCAAGTTCAACCTGTAACTTGTTGTTTAAAAATCAACTATAAAGCAAGCCTATAATGGTCAATTTGAAGAATGCAAATATATGATACTTTCCTGACTATTCAGTGTGTTACAAGATTATTTAGTTATACTTGAATCACTAATTTCTTAAGTCTTTGCTATGTAGTTGACTAAAGATTTGAATATATCGTACTATAGACAGATAAATTTTTTCACCAAAAATGTCATTTGTCGTAAAAATTCGAGTAATTTTTTACTTTTACGGGTGGGGCACATCCTACCGCCAGGAACGAGCATAGAAGCATAAGTCTATGCACTTCTTGCCCGGATTTCACACCTACGTTTACACCGCACAGGTCACTAGCTCAAAATCCGAATTGTATTATCTGAATTATGATCTCAGTGCACTCAACGTATACTCTTTCGTGACTACAATAGATCGCTCATCCACTATAAGAGGTTCGCTACTTGAACTGTCATCAACTTTCTTTTACACATTATAAGGCCATGCACTCCTGAGCTTTTAATAGAAATGCGCGAATTCGCTATTAACGACTATATTCTATGTTGATGGATTTCCTAATCTTGCACAATATGTAAATACTGCATGTATATAATAATATCTGTAGTATAAATGAGAAATAGACACCGCAGAGGATGTATACTAAATAACTTGCAATCTTGTCCGAGGCCTCACGAGCCCATAAATGTATGGAAATCGTTTAATTTTACTAAAAATTCCATGCCGCATAAATTGCGCATGGTGCGGTTCGTAGTTGACGATTGTATAGCCTTAGTATAGCCACCAATAAGGTACAATAGCAGGTTGACGCGAATAGACGGTAACGAGTATAGGGGACGATAAAACAACCCTGAATAGAGATCGAGTATGTTACGATACAACGGGCAAAGAACGTGCCACCCATTTCTTTTTGTTCTGAAGGGCGTGTGCCGTATTGCGATGAAGGTGAGGTAGGTGGCCTGATATTCGGAAAGAAGGGGTGGGGTGCGCGAGATTAAGATCGGCTATTGGGGGGAACATCGCGCCTGAGCGCTTGGCCGTTAGAACGGAGCTAACAGTGTGATTCGCGCCAGCATGCAACTGCGAATACTAGGTGCGAAAGTTGACTTGTTTAGGGTGCAGCGCAGCATTCAATGCGGCGTGGGCATCCCTGGTAACTAAGGTTTGGAATGCCGATGGTTTAAGGCGGGATACAAGGGATATTGGGATGTGTTAGTCGTGGAAGAGCGCCCAGAAGTATTCCAACGCATATAATGCACGGATGTACAAGGCAATTGTTTTTCTCGGGTGGAGATAAAAATAGCAGGAGTCCCTAATGGGCAGAGAGTTGCAACCGAAAGAGATAGCGTTGTTTGTAGTAGCCAAGAAACATATTTATAGGCTATCTGATTATTGTTGAGATAGTATGATAAGGTCGAAAAGAACGAAGATATTAATTTTTCAGGAACACTGGAAAGATAGCAAAACAGAGATACCTTTTGGGCTGTGCTTCTGTACTATTTAGAGGGGCATTTGGTAGCTCTTTAAAGGTTTGGTATTTACTTAAAATCGGGTCCGGTTAATAAGTTCTACCTTCAAATTTTGGCGATCGTTTGCACAAAATGGTGTAAACTAAGCTACTCATGAAATGGATTTATGAATTGGCATAAAATTACAATTAGAATGTATTGAAAGGATATATGTGATCAGATTGGCTTACTCTATAAACTAATCATTACTCTATATGTAAAAAGTGACAGCATGCCCTGTTTCTAGGCCTGTAGCATTGACAATCATTGTTATGGGGAATGTTCTAGAATGGATTATTTACCGTCAGGCAGAAACGCTAGTGCCTACTATTGAAGAAAGTTGTAATATGTCAAAGTATTCACATGCTTCCATAATACTCTTCATAGATTGTGTAAAATATCACAACTACAAGTAACTTTCTGTGCCGACATAGAGGTTCAACAACGGAAAAGTATTTATGAGTTTCTTCAATACATCAAGTCAACCCATTCTGGAATTTTTCCACACATTCAACCGCATCATTTTCAAATTGCTCAAAACATTTCATAATATCGATTGTAACCTATTCTTTCCAAATTTAACATCTATCTCCATTAACCAGTTGTAAGCAATGTCTTTTTCAGCCTTTTAAGAGCATTTAATAAATTATTATAAACGGAAGACGATACTCTCCCACAATCCAAGTAGGCTTTAGGGTGTTACAGCATACAGGTAGACATTATTACGAATTTGAGATGGTGAACTTATTTCTGTGAATAATTTCTCATGACTGTATGAGTGACCCACACTTCTTCGTAGAACGATCTTCATGCTAGATAGTGAGCCTTTTCTCATATAATTCCTTTTCTTGGAAAAGTATCCATAGATATTATAACACATTATATTTATTGAACTCATTTAGATCTATTGATGTCAATATCATATTTATCCTTTGGTTGTTGGTCTGAGTTTAAATATAATTGTCCAAGTTTCAGCATTCTTTTTTTCCAGGTTTTTGTCTTATTCTTTCTATTGACATCTTCTAATAATAATTCACAGTCATCGTCATTGTCATCATCATCTAAATCTCCATCCTTAATTTTTTGCTTTCGTGATTTTGTCAACAGAACTTCATATAATTTATCTTTGTGATTTATACCGTATGTACTGCCATAATTCAAGTCTTTAAGCACTATTTCTCGTGTTCTTCCTAATGATTCGATATCAGCTACTCTCTCAATTGTATCTTCCAATAATTCGTCAAAATGCGGCTGTGAGGCAATTTCATGAAATGCTCTCATCATTGGTACAGAGTCAGCACGTACTGTTGATTCAGAATCAATAGTGAATATATTCAAATTATCATACTGCTGAATATAATCAGCACGCGTCATGATCTGCCTCGCTCTCCACAATGGTAAATCAGGTAAATGATGGTCTTCAGAATTATGATCATCATAAGGAGCATTGGCTAATCTATCTCTATCCATCTCTACAAATGCTCTCATTAAGAGCATTGCGCTAGTCGAAAATTTCCCGCTTTCCATTACATCATCGTCCATATCCATACCTAATAATCCACATTGATTTAGAAACCACGTCTTCTCACGGTCAATTATTTGATGGCACGCAGTAATAATATCCTTATGTCTAGCAACTTGCGATATGTGCTGTGGCCTTCCACCAATTAAATCATAAATGCTTCCACACATTTCATCGTCCAACTTTAAGTCTGGAAAATTTCTCGAAGGGAAGAATTTTTCTCTAATAAATTTTAATGACTTCACAGTTTCCTTTTTATTAAAATCTCTCACGTTGATTAGCTCTAATCTCGTACCTAGTCTTTTTAATTTTTCATATACCCAATAATCATCAGAATTGAAAATTATTGTTACAAGTCCTGATCCGCTTAAGCTCTCAGATTTTTGTTGAAGTAATTCTATCAATTTAATGCCTTCCTCCGTCTCTTTAATTAGATGGGCATTATTAATAATTAACACTAATGGGCGGTTGTTTGTTTTGGTAACCCTTCTAATTGCTAATTCTTCTAGTTTACTAAAAGCTCTCTCAATATCCAACAAAGCAGTGGTATCTCTGGGTCCTCTAATACTGAATAGCGAGCCTATGTAATCTTCAGAAAAAGTGAAATTTAATGCTTTACCTAATCTGATCCTAAATATTTCAGGATCTGCATGTGCATCGAAAATTGCTACGTTGTACCCATCTACTTTCTTCATAGACTCTAACAATAATGAAGTTTTGCCTGTGCCTTTCTCTCCAATTAGTAAAAAGTATCTTCCAATGATTTTCCCAGAAACAATATCGTCAAGTAATCTTTGTTGTGGACGTTCAACCCAGTATTGGGATAAATCATCACCATCGCATTCAACATTATCGGTACTTTTATTGGTTCTTTTATGCATTGATAATTGAAATGCGGGATCACCCTTTTCAAAAGCTAGATCCATCTTATCAAGCACATGGATGCCGTAAAATCTATGGTATAATAAGCCAGCCATACCTAAAATAGCGATGGAACTAAACGTAATGCCAATAGTTTCTAAGCATTTAAACAAGAACTTACCAAACTTAGCTAATCCTTCCTTAAATTTATTTGGCTCTTCCTCTTCAATGTCTTCTGATTCTTCAAGTTCTTCTTCTTCTTCTTGATTCTTTTTATTCTGATTTTCTTTTTCCCTTGCCTTTTCCTCTTCTATCCTTCTATTCTCATCTGTTTTATCAGAATTTTTATCTCCTTCTGGTTCTACTTCATCTTTATTTCCAGATGGAGGTCCATTTCCTCCGTTTCCCCCGTTATGACTTCCGCCCCCTGTAGATGCGCCTGAAGCTGATTTACTCCCATGTTGTGTTGATGTATTGTTACTCTCTGCATCTTCTGCCTTTCTTGTGCTTCCAGTATCGCCCTCGTTATAATTTTTTTGAAGCTCTATAACCTTCATGTTAGGCATAACAGCCCTTTTAAGTGGAATTGTGTCATTGGTAGTCTTGAAATCATCTTCACTTAAATCCTTACTTTGAGGCGTTTTGTCCTCTGGCTTCTTTGATTCACCGTCATTTTTCTTCATCTTTTTTTTTTCTTTGATTAATTTCTTCTTGTCCTTTTTCAACTTTTCATTTTTCTCTTCAAGTTCATCATTCTGTACTTCTTCTAAAACATCAAAAGGTAAAAGTGGATTTATACGAACAGGTGAAGTTTTATGAAATGATCGTAACTGTGACCGATAGCATATCAATGGTATTGCCCAATTATGTCCCTTACGGATACTTTTAAATGCAAATGGTGCTACTGATATCAATCTATACATTAGTGTCTATCGATTTCATTTATAGTTGTAATATTTATTAATTGAATTGCTTTTATCGCGACATAAAATCATCAAAAAATCTAAATAATATAATCTATCGTGAAGCTCACGATAAATCAAACCTTGCCTCCGTATTTATAGCATATAATAGCTTGGACCGTACTAATTCTTTATCTTGGTAATCAGGTAGCTTTAATAAATTTACACACGTTGAAGCAGTTGGTAGTCTATCAATACTTCTACCAGCATTTCTAATCCCAAATTTAGGATTTAGAGATCCAAACCCTAATAAAGGAGCTCTTGAAACAGACGTCACAAACTTGATCAACTTGAACCTCTCTTCTGGATTCATTTCACTTATGACTTCCCAGAAATATACAACAGTTATATCATCATCAAAGTATCCTCCATATTCAACATTCTCTTTCCAGTCTTGTATATTTACATCATTCTCACCACCAGATATTAACATTTGTAACTCGTATGCATCAAACATACTTAGCCAGCTAGACGAAATAATTTCAAATAATCCATTAAGAAAGAATTTTGTTTGAACGTGTAAGGATTGATTCAATCTAAAATTGGATATTTGATGAATATAATTCAATATATTTGACTGATCAACTTTAATTTCTGCTCCATTCGGAGGTAACAAATCAAATGTGCAGTTGAGATCGTTAATCTTTTCATCAATAGTAAAATTTAAATCAAGCTGCTCCAACTCTTTTGAATCCATACTAGTTAGTTTCATTAAATTCTTGAACAATTCTCGGTCTAAATAGTTTAAATCATTTATAGAATTCTTCATGGAATTCTGCCCTCTATTAAAACTGCACCATTTGTTTAAAAAAAATGGTGCAAATGACAAATCAATTAATACATTTTCGTAGAAACACTTCCCAATTATATTACCCAAAAATCGCAAATACATTAATTTTTGTTGTTGCTCTTGAATATTAAGCTTTTTGCTTAGCATTTTGTATATTTCATCACTTGGGTATAACTGATTCTCTGCTGTTTCTTTAAATAATTCAAATTTACCTTGTGGATGAAACCCTTCCATTGCAACACTTGTTAGGAACTCTTTCGTAATTCCTCCCCCGTCTATTCCTGCCTCTTGGCCACCTTGTTCATTGAATAAAGTCACACTCAACGTATGTTTAAAATCTGATCCACATTTATGGAAGCTATTAAATGCATCTTCAAATAAAGATTCTCTTCGAATATCTGCTTTTAGTCTCTTTGGTGCTTGGAAAAATGAAAAGGTATCGGGGCCCATTAATTTTTCTCTATCTATTTGAATTAGAGTTTGTAACACTTTAACTCTATCCTTAAAAGATATAAAATACGGTAGTTTCTTTAGCACTTCTAGCTTTGATAAAGTATCACTGTTTGCCTTTGCAAATTTTGGCTTTTTAGATGAGCCTACATGTGTCAAATCATCACCATTAAGTTCCAAATCTGAATCGTTGTCCAGTAAATCAACCTCCATTTCTTGTCTTCTTTCTTCTTCATCAATAATTAGTTGTAACATATTATCAATATTAAAGTTTAATTCATTTGGCTTCCAAAATGTATCTGGTAAAAACTTAAGTCTAGAATTTTTGCTGTACAATTGATTAAGCAAAGAGATTGAAATCTCCTTAAGCTTTGCAAACTCGTTAAATAAATTACTGTTATTACCATTAAAAATCAAGGTCAAGCAAATAGTCTTTAAGAATTCTATGAATTTCGAGACTTCTTGTAAGCTTAGCTTATCTTCAGAGAAACTTTCCAAATCATTTGAAACTATAAGCCAATAAGAATATAATTCTTCAAATGTATACAAAGTCTTCCAAAAATTTGATACTAAGTTTACTGGAATCTTGGAATAAAGTTGAATTAGGTCATCAGAACGCAAATAATCATAATTCTGTACGCTTTTTTGTTCAATATATTTGTAGATAGGATCCTTTCTCAACTGATGGTAGAACCATTTATATGAACCTGGAGTAATTGTAATTAATATACAAAGTTTACTTTTCGAAACTGGAATTAAATATGTTAAAGTGGCAAAAATGTGGAGCGCTAGCTGTGAAAGTGAGTCGTTCGCATTTGTGAAGTATTCTATAGCCTGTTTTATAAAGCTTGCTGAGTATAGCACTTGTAACCGTTCTATTACTTCTTTGCTTACTGGTATTATTGCTTCTGTAGATCTATGGGTATTGGAATCAACAAAAATATCAGTCCTTTCCAATTCGTCTTCGTCTATCCCATCTTCGTCAAGGTTTGTTCTATCCTTAATTGAAAAGGAAATCGTAGATAGCACCATGCCAATTACTATGTAATCTGATGCAATAAACTTACAATCTCCATGTATTTTCAATATGTTGACAAGTAAGTTGATTTTCTGCAAGTTCGCTAGTGGACTTAAAATATTTGTCGAATTGTCTATCGGTATTTGTTTTCTCAATACATCTAATAAGTACTGATTTCCTTTAGCATTAATTGAATGAAAGATATTTGGGATGGATAAGAATTCAATAAAATGCTTATAAGAGTCATTAATATTTATGTCAAACATCAACTGTATCATTTTGTTTGCAGTTTCATCAGGTACATCTAGTTTTAGTAAACTATCAGATAAATAAAGTATCAAATTTGTATACCTATGGGTAGTCGTGCTATACTTAGATATTAGCATTGACATGCAATCACATATAATGCTTATACAACCAGTAGATTTCTTCGACCTATTGAGAGCGCTTATCAAATTTATTAAATTCTTTATCAACAGGTCATATAAGCACGAGTTGATTTCATACTTAGAAATCAAACAATTTCTGTTAAGCCCTTCATAAAACAACGCTAGTTGGCGGCAAGTGATATCCAAATTATGTCTTGATCTACCCCATCTACACAAGAACAGAAATTTGCTAATCCACTTACACCAATCCTCTTCACTCTTCCAATGTCTCATCTCATCAGTCCACTCTTGTCTCCATATCTCGTATTGCTTTGATAAATCGATGTATCTTCTAATATAAGATTGTATTACTAAACTTGACCTTTCTCTTTGTCTCTGTTCTTCTCGCTGTTGCCTTTGCAATCGGGTCTTCTCCAAATAATTGGTGGCATCATTCGATTTCTTATTTCCTAAATTCACTACCCTTTTCTTTGTATTTCCTGTGAAATTAATCATTAGGAGTAACTACGAACAGAAACTATATTAATAATCTGTAACACTCTACATCTTTTGATTAAATTCGCTATTTGCAGGGATTATATTTTATACCGGACAAGGGTCGGTAGGTAAAAATCGATAGATTTCTAATCTAAAATTATCTAATTAATTAAATCTATAATATCACCAAATGATTCTATGTAACACAGTGGAGTCATGCTTCTGGTTTCCTCCTCCTTATAAGATGTGGTTAAGAAACTATCAAAATAGCGTTTCGTTGTACCCCCACTGAGAACTAATAAAGAATTTGCGAGCTGACCATCAATACCAAATTTGATATCAGTGTATAACGTATCACCTACCATAATAGTCTTTTCCTTCTCGAACTTGCTGTGTTCTAATATAACATCTAACAAGGTGGTACTAGGTTTCCCTACGTTGATAAAATCTCTGTCAGCCGTGTATTGCATGTAGTTCACAACACTTCCACCAGCAGGTAAGATTAAGCCATCAGATGGATAAGATCTGTCAATATTTGCACCTACAAATGGTATGCCCTTGTTATCATGAAGCAAGTATTGGAGAGTCAGCGCAATCCTCATATAATTAAAATCTTTTGTAGAGCCTACTACGACCGCCCTAACGTCAGGATCAACTTTAAGTAGCTCGTGATGAGGGTCAAAAGGTTCATTAAGACGGGGATCGGTACCACCGACTGGAATATATTTAGCCTCTCGTAATTCATCTTCAATACCACTGTCACCCAACACCCAGATCTTGGACCCTTCCGGCACTTTTAAATGTTCCTTCAAGTTAAAGGCCGCCGCATAACATGTAGGGTATATCATATCTTTCGTAATACCCTTAAATCCTAATCTTTCAAATTTCTCTACATAATCTTGACGCGATTTAGAAGAATTGTTCGTGACAAATACATATCTCTTGTTTTTAGAATTTAAGTACTCGATGGTTTGGAGAACTCCTGGAATTAATTTCTCATCCAACCAAATCACTCCGTCACAATCGAACAAGAAGTTATCATGCTCATCGATTAATTTTTGTGCTTGTTCTTTGCTGGTGATTTCTGTAGGTATTATACTCTCGGATACTGTCATCTTTACTGTCAGAATCGAGTTTATTTCTTCATTTGGCAGAAATTCCAAATATAAGGGAAAAAATTACAGATTCAATCACATGACAATGTTGCAGATTAAGGTTGGAGAATACGACAATTAACCTTCGATACATAAAATGATAGATAATACTTATTGCTTATATTATACTCGCACTTTTGAAGTTAATCATCTATTAGAATACACGCGATGTTTTGAAGTTGCCATAGATTTAATTAGGTAGTTTAAATCAAATTAATCTAGAAAGCACATTATAAAACATTCAATGTGAACACTATGGGTACTTCCAATTCCGCCGTACACACAATAATTTCTGAATAGGTATATTCATATAATCATATCATTATGAGTATGGATTGGTAGAAATTAATTTTATTGAGTTGGATGGAACTTAGATTAACTGATCTTGATAAGCTTAATATTCTTGTTCACGTGATTCGAAATTTTTATTTCCCAATACATCTCTGGATTTATGATGTGCTTCCCAGTAGCTTGTTGCATTCGTATTTATATACATAGAAAGTATTGATGGTGAAGCTTTTTAAAGACTATTCGTAATTCGTGTTTCTTAGTTAATTTTAATTCATAATGTCTACTGACCAAGATATAATACTTAATCCAAATTCGGGCCACCTTCCAGAATGCCAATCTATCAATGAATCTAATGCAAACAGACAAGATACAAAACAAAAGACTAAAAGCAAAAAAGTGCGGAAAGAACAGTCAGATGATGATTATATTTTACAAAAGCTGCAATTCTATAGCACCGGGCCTACACTAAATACTGATGACTGGCTCTACGACCCAGAAGGATTAGACCAGTTAGATAACTCTAAAAAGACAGATAGAGTGAAAATGTTGCATGCATGTGAAAAATCTTACTATCAGAAGGATTATAATAAATGTCTTGAAATGATAAGGAAAGCAGAGAGTTTATTTGGCGTGCAACTAGATAATGAAGAAGATAATGAAGATATCAAAAGCGATTTTGAATCCTCGGGTAAGAAAACAAGAAAGAGTGCCAAGGTCGATAGACACATCGTGGAACTATTACACATTAAAGAGCGTTGCCTTGAAAAATTAAATATCTGATATATATATATATATTATGCATGCATTATTGACATTATTCTCGTTTTAGCCATATTCTAGCCTCGATGTAGCTAACCATACGCTTCTTGTAAATTTTATCATCATTATAATCATTATCACTGTCACCATCATTTGAAGCTAGCTGGAATTCATCTAATACTTCGACACTACCTGTTAATATATCAACTTTATAATTTAATTCATCTTGAAACTTCAACGCAATAGATAAAGTATTCTCTATAGCCTTACCCATTCCCTTTACGGTGACGTACTTAACCTTCTTGTAATCAACATTTTGATACTTTTTATTAGGTAGAACTGACTTATCAAATTTGGCAAGTATCTTTTGAATTCTCTTCATTGCGGATATGTATGGTGTTGAAGACTTGACCAAGAATGTAGTTTCATGCTCTATTTTCAGTAATGGCAAAGTATTAGGACTATGTTTAATGTGTTTTCCATTTATTCTCTTTGGAATGACGTGCTTTTTCTTACTTTTTTCTGACATTATTGATGAGTTTCACATATATTAGAGGTGATGTTTTTGGTGATGGATAAATTTTGAGAATTAGAATCGAGCTGTATATGACGTGAATTGCACTTTTTCTTGGTTAATACTTTAAATTCCTTTTTCTCCATTCAATTATACTACTGTGTATTAGGAATAATTCCTCTATATTCCGCTATACTCCACTATACAAACAACTACAAAGCATTGCAAAAAAGCTTCCTAGTTTGTCTATTACTATCATCTCACAATTTACTACTACCGCGTCTCAATTAAATTTACCTTACTATTAGTATGAATTCCAGTCAAATAGGAATGAATCTGTCAAATTTTTCTGATTCATATTACAGATTCGCTGATACTTCAAGCTTTAAAGTACCGTCTTCACCTATAAATTCCACATCGCATAAAAGAAAAAGATCTGAAGACCTAGACATCATTACGCATATTACGATTCACAGCCAAGCATTAGGTGGTCAGATAATAAATGAGCATGCTAAGAGGTGTCAGTCGCATAAGATTCACTCAGAAGTACATCAGAATACTATAGACTTGATGATGAAATCACAAAAAATACTTCAAGAACAAGAAAGGTTGCATAAGCTATATCATGATGATAATTCGATGCACGAAAATACAAATACTAATGACATGATAGATAGCTTTAAGCAGAGACCCTTCTGGCCTGTTTTAAATAAGAATCAAACCTAATACCTAATACGAGAATGATACTTTCTATATACAATTTAAGCTACATTGTATTCACCGTAATAATAGAATTAGATTAAATATGTATATACATATGAAGAGAACAAAAATATAACATGAAAAATACAATTGTGAACCTTAAAAAATAATGAACTTAAAGAAAAGTTAATGACTTATACTAATTAGAACGTTTTGACTTCTTCTTGTTCTTCAATACGACCTTTTGCTTGGTAGATTCAGTTTCAGAGTCGCTTTCCATTTCTTCGTCTTCGCTCATCATATCTTCAGATGCAATATCTTCTTGCTCTTCCTCTTCTTCTTCCATGGCATTTTCCTTAGCAGCCAATCTCTCAGCCTTTCTACGTAATTCAACTTCTCTGATCTTCAACAATTGTGGGTTTTGTTCCACTAATCTTCTATCGAGGGCCAATTTCTTATCCTTATTACCTCTCATTCTGTTCTTGTAGAATGCTCTTTCTCTCTTCTGTCTGATTTCTTCAACTCTAGCCATAGTCTTCAAAGTGGTAGCAACCAAATCTCTGTTATATCTAACTGGGACGTTTCTTCTTGCGGCAAATGTCAAGGTTGAGTCAACAACTAACTCTTTACCAGCTGCTTTTCTGAATGCCTTGGTCCATCTCAATTTACGTGGGTTACGACGTTGTTTGAATGCATGATGACATTTGGAACGACAGAATCTAAATTCTTTGGCATCGTTTCTAACAAACATAATCCCGTGTAAAGGATAAACTGGAGATGAACAGAAATGACACGAATAAACTCTCATAGTGAAATATTATAATATGTGATAATGTGATGCTAAAATAAAATTATTGAATCCTAATCAAAAATGAAAAATTGTTCTGCAATTGTAAGTCTATGTTAATAACTATGCCCAATACTCAACTATTGTCAACCTATCAAAATAAGCAATATCCTATGTATATTATTGAAAAAATATACTAAATATCTCGAAATATCAATAGATAAGTCAGTTAGATTTGAAAATTTTTTGATATCATATAGTACCTCTTCTCTATACTAAAAAAAATTATTATTACACAAAAATGTTTTTCTTTTCGTGATGATATACGTGAGCCGCAATCTATGCGGATATTATATTCTTTTCATGTCTATTAATGGTCTGTCGTTTCTGTATACCTTTTCCTATTGCTCCATTTTAGAGTTTTTTGTTCCATTCGTCTAGCACTGGTTCTGTTATCCATGTTTGCTAAGTGGCGGTTTCAGCCTGGTGAAATGCATTTGCCCCCAAATTTATCCCCACACCAAACTCATTCATTTCATACCAATCACGCTTATTTCGAATAGAATTGTTTCTCTATATATAGACCAGCACTCTAATCTAACACTAGTTATTGGTGGTAATACAGTGGCAAAAAGTAGTTTTGCAACTTGAGTTGGAACAGATTTATCTTACACGTGACACGCTTTTTAATATGGTCTAGCAGAGTGGAATCAAGTAGCCGTTGCTACCGTAAGAACAGGGACCAAGCATTTGATATTATTTGCATTGTATGTACTCCCCAATCTATTCTAATGTTTAAATTTTTTCTTTACAGAGAAATAGGTCTTGTTTTTGCTTTAATTATTGATTCCAATCCATTTTTGGCATTTCCTGTTTAGCATTGAATCAGCCTCCAATACTAAATTTAACTCAAACGGTTATATATCGTTTGAAATCCTCTAGATTTTTATCACTTGACAGTAACATATAGAATGAATGAAGATTTAAAAGATGGAAGAAGAACTGCAAGCCTATTCTGGAGTCATGGATTGTCGCATAACCACTATCCTGTCTTAACCATAGCAGTAAAAAACTTAAAAGTTGCAGTAATCATCGCGAACCCATTTACGCAACAGTATTTGAGCAATTTTACACCCGCATTTAGGGTAATCTCCATATTCTTGTTTAACTATAAAAGAATACATAATCTTCACTTATTCTAATAAGTTTGTCAAGTATCATGGAAAATCATTACGAAGTTATTATTATAGGCGGAAGTGCTGCAGGGTTGGCTGCAACTTTGGCAATTGCACGTACAATGAAGACTGTTTTATGTATAGATTCTGGTGCCCCTTGCAACAAGTTTTCCGATCATATGCACAATTTTATAGGTCACGACGGGGACTCGCCGGTTGAATTCAGATCCCAAGCTAAAGATAATTTACTGAAGTACAAGACAGTTAGATTGGTAGAAGGTAAAGTGATAAAAGTTAATAAGGCCAAAACAGAGTTTCAAATTACTGCAACTGTGCGTAACACTGAAAAGCTTTATGTGGGTAAGAAAATCATTTTTGCATCTGGGGTTAATGATTTGATTAATGATGTCAATATTAAAGATATAGAGAAGTTTTGGGGTAAATCTGCTTTGCACTGTCCCTATTGCCATGGTTATGAAGTTGCAAACAGGGCGACCGGACTCATATTTGATAATTCTCGTTTAATGGATATGGCCTCAATGATATATAACTGGACGAAAAATATAACAGTATTAACGAATGGCACTAAAATATCTTCTATTTGCTCTGAATCAGAACAAAATGAATTGAAAAGAAAAAATATTGAGATCATAGATAAGGTTATTACAGAATTCGTCGGTGAGTCAGGAAACCTAGAGACTGTAAGATTTTCTGATGGATCAACAATTTCATTGGATTGTGTTTATATTCATCCGCCCTTTAAATTAAATTGTGAAGATATTTTAAATAAGTTGCAAGTAAACATAGATGAAACGAGGTTGATAAAAGTAGATGGGTTTCAAAGAACAAATATTGAAGGCGTATACGCTTGCGGCGACTGTACTACGTATTTCAGAGCAGTTTCTAATGCTGTTAGCCAAGGAAACATTGCAGGTGCGATGTGTACGAAGGAGTTATTCCAAAATTCGTGGTATGAGTAATTTCAAAAAGAATAAAATATGGTAACTAACTATGACCCAAATATAACTCTAATAAAACTTTGCGCTGTTTTGCACTATGATACTCTTATATTTATGGAATAATCATTATCTTAGTTACCTTTATAAAAATATATTTCCATACATTGTTGTTACAAAGTTTGTATATTCAAAAAAATGAAGTCTATCAATATGTCATGGTGATTTCGTGTTGAAATTGCGAATGCGAAATAAATGGCCTACCCAAGTTAATTTTGTTTCTAAACTAATCTCTCTATATAGTATATGTATTCGTACGACAAACATACGAATTAATGTACGTTCTTGCCATTCCTCTGAAGGCTAGGAGTGGCAAAATTGTCGTCCTTTTTGCATCTACGAAATAAATCTTGAAACAGAAATTTACACGTGACTTGTATTCGAGAAAAAAACGTTCGGCTTACTAGAATAGAGTCAGAGAAATTTTCTTGATTCACACCTTTTTGCACTCTATAGTGATCTTATCAGTGAAAACTCTTGTAAATAAAGCATAATACGATAGAAATGGCACCTTTTAATATGGAGATTCCTACCTTGGCAATTCCTGGTGATAGGAACCAAAACCAACCTATTGAATTACAGCAGCAGGTCCAACAACCTCAACAACCTCAACAACCCCAGCACCTCCAACAAGCGTACACGGGCCACTTACAACGTAAACAAGCAGAAGAAGGTTCAGCTGAGTGGTATTTTGACAAAAGCTGTGAATGGATGGGCGACCACCCATGGATGACCGGTATGGGGTTATTGGGAGCTGCATATTTTGCTTCTGGTTTTGTTAAGTCGAAACAACCTGGTCTCAACGGTAAGGCGTTTATTAAAGGTTCTTTTGGACAGAAGATGACCCCTAAAGAAGCGTTACAGATCTTGAACTTGAAGGAAACCAACTTATCGCAAGCTAAGTTGAAAGAACAACACAGAAAGTTGATGATGGCTAACCACCCGGATAAAGGAGGTTCTTCATTTTTAGCTACTAAGGTCAATGAAGCAAAGGATATATTAGAAAAGAGAGGTGGTTTAAAGAAGAAATGATTTTCTGTGTGAATAAAAACCTGTAGCATATGTGGACATATATATTTGGGTTTCAGCTCAAACTTTGTCAAAATGAGTGTAAATCACCCCAACCCTCCCATGAGAACACATGGTTCTTCAAACTCCCCTAGAGCAGATTATAAACATCACAGCCCACTGTTTATTATAAGTTTATTGTATATAGAATGTACGAATAATAGTGAAAAAGTCATCAGGTCGTGCGAATTCCCAATCAACCTGATCGGGACGTAGGAACCGGAAATTCTTATTTACATGAACAACACTATGTTTTACGCCCATAGATTCTTCCAGTTTATAGATCAATTATACAAAAAACTATTAATAATCAGATCCATATAGATATGACAACATATGAGAAAATTGTCAAGGGTGCTACTAAGGTCAAGGTAGCAGCCCCGAAGCCTAAGTATATTGAACCAATTCTAATGAGTACCCTGATAGACCATTCTGTAGAAGCAGAAAATTTTACTACTATAATGAGAGCTTTACGAGGTAGACTCCAAGACAGTGCGTGGTCAGTTGTATATAAGCTGTTAATTGTTATTCATATTATGATCAGAGAAGGTGATCGAGATGTTACTTTGGATTATCTCGTTAATAAGGATCCTAATATGCTTAATTTATCTCACTCAAACATTACCAAAAACCATAATCACAATCCAGACGTTCGATTTATTGTTAAATATGCTAAATACTTGCATACTAGAGTTAGACAGTATGAATCAACCAGAATTGACTACGTGAGAGACGAACGTGCTAATAATAGCACTGGACAAGACGGGGGGAGATTACGTACTTTGACCATCGAAAAAGGCTTATTAAGAGAATGTGAAAGTGTACAGAAGCAAATTGATGCATTGTTGAAGAATAACTTTATGGAGAACGAAATCAATAATGATATTGTTTTAACTGCATTTAGAATGCTTGTCAATGACTTGTTAGCATTGTTTCAAGAATTAAATGAAGGTGTTATTAATATTTTAGAACATTATTTTGAGACTTCAAAGGTCGATGCCGAAAGAGCGCTCAAAATTTATAAGAAGTTTGTAGATCAGACCAAGTATGTTATTGATTATTTGAGAGTTGCCAAACATCTTGAGTATGCAACAAAATTGCATGTTCCAACGATCAAGCATGCGCCTACAGCATTAACCTCATCTTTGGAAGAATATTTGGATGATCCAAACTTTGAAGTAAATAGACGGCAATATTTGGATGGGAAGCTGGTGGAGTCAAAAGAGAATTCTGGAGGTCTCTCTGCGAAACACTCGCAATCACAGCAAGCTGCTCCCAAGCAAGATGTTCAACATCAGCAGCAAGTTCCTCAACAACAATTTCAACCTCAACAAGGGGCTACTTCAGATTTACAGAGAGCTAATTCATTGATCGTTCAACAATCTACATTTAATCCTTGGGGTTCAAACTTGCAACCACAAGTTCAGATGTTGCCACAAGTTACCTTACCATCTGGGACATCTTTTACTACATTGCCAGCGATTTCACAGGGTCAGACATATCAATATAATGGGGCTCAACAGCAACCACTGCAACAACAAAATGGTTTAACTTCTAATTATACCGGTACTGGTTTTGGTGGTTATGGATCACAAATCCAACTGCAAACTACAGGTAGCAACCCTTTCTTACAAAATACTGATACAAATCGAACTCAATCCTTCAATGGTTTCAATTCTCAACAGCAACAGCAGCAGCAAGAACAGCAACAATATCAACAACAACAAGAGCAGCAACAGCAACAGCAAATTCAGCAACAACAACTTCAGCAACAACAACTTCAACAACAACAACTTCAACAACAACAACTTCAGCAACAACAACTTCAACAACAACAAAGTGTGCATTCTGGATTATCGAGGGCCAATACTAATCCATTTTCGAATTTAAGTTCATCTCTGACAACTCAACAATTACATTCCACAAATACTGGTTCAAACCCATTTTTCAATACCAGATTTTCACAAAATAGTTCTACTACACCATTGTCATTCGTTAATGACAAACCACAACAAGTTACAAGCACATCCACAGGGTCTAACCCATTCAAGGTTTCTGAAACAACAAGCAGCCTCTTTAATAATGTAAGTAATCAGCCCCAGCCACAATTGAAACCACAACCAACTGCAGGTGGGTTAGAAAATTTACCTACTATTCCCGTTTTTCCAGACACCCAGCAGGAATCTCAGAAACAATTTTACTTGAATAATGCAAGAATGGAATTGCAACAACAAATGACTAACAACCAACAATTTCCTCAACAGCAACAGCAACAATGGAATCAACCACCACAATTTCAACAAATGCAACCCCAGCATACTCAAAACTATCCACAACCACCACAAACTTCAATGTACAATAATTATGAAGGACCAAGTTTAATTTAAACAAAAAACCAATCAATGACTAGTATTTTAGCATTAGATCGTTATATAGCTATTTATTTTGTCATTTGTATTATTTTTATCGAATATATATTATTGGTTTTTCTATAGATAGGTTAGATTTAATTCAAACACCATCCTTACTTAACTAATTGTGAAGTAAAACTGTTTGATAATTTTCCACTCACCGAAGCAACAACTAAAATTGGTGAGGTGGGCTTTTGGGTAGATTTAGGACCAGTAAAGTAAGAGAAAGGTGGGGCTCGACACTTAGATGAATCACTACCACTTATGCAAGTGAAGAATCAAGGAAGAGAGGTGGAGCGTCTACAACTCCTTTATATACAGGATGTGGATAATTAAAAGAGTATAGTACTAATAACTAGTTATTCAGATAGCACTCAAAAACATACAAGAGGAAGATTTAGTCCGGATAAATGTTTTATGGATAAATCTCTCAATTTAGGTCGAGCGGATCAATAGCAAGATACTCTTCAATCGTAATGAGTTTTCCCTGTGCTTGCTGAGATGACCATTCAACATCTTCTTTAGTCAGAGGACCATAATAGCCATAGTCTCTAATATACAAGAACATTTCAATTAATTCATTAGCAAATGAAGGCGGTAAAAATGGACGCAAAAATTCTTCTGATACTTTCCTATAGTTCACTACCTTACCTGTTGCATTACTCAATGTTATTGCAACTTCCTCTAGCGAATAAAGCTTTATGGCCGCAGATAATATCTTTCCTTCATATTTTGTAGGATCAGTTAATATAGGTGCAATGAATTTACCGGTATCATTAGCGATATCGATCCATGGAATTTTTGTTTCAGGTTCATAAATATTTGAGATCGCATAGGTTCCATCTCCAACAGGGTGTGGGGTCATAACAGAATGTAAATTTTGCATGAATGATCCTGGGGCATAAAAAGCACTCTTGATAGGTAGTGCTCTGATATATTCTTCAATCTCCGCTTTAACATCGAAATGAATTACCTGCTTCAATTTGCCCTCAGTAATTTTCGTCACATTTGTACTAGTGCTCCAAATAAAATATTGGACACCTGCTGCAACAGCAGCATCAACAATTGCCTTACCTTGCATCAATTCTCTTTCCTTTGAATTGTTTTCATAAATCGTATTTGTTTGTCCAAAAACAATATTAGCATCTCTAAAAGCATTCTTCAAAGAATCAGGTCTATTGATATCTGCTTCAAATATTTCAACTCCTTTCAGTTTAAGAGCTTGAGCTCTTGGTGAAGAAGCATCGCGTGAAATCCCTCGAAGACTATACTCTTTTGATAATAAAGGATTATTAAGAATATATGAAATAATAGACCCCCCTTGTTGGCCTGTAGCTCCCAAAATAACTAAAAGTTTGCTCATGTTGATAGTACTATACAAAATAACTTTTTGCAAATACTAAGGAGAAAAGAGGTGGATATTTATAGCATTTTGCATTGGAGCAATTATTTATAAGCGGGATGTGAAATCTCGGTCGAATTTCTTGATTAAGAACAATTCTGTAACATTTCAATCTATTTAATTTCAATTTAGATATTTTAATGTAATTGCAGCATTTTCTTTAATAAATGAAAAGTTCGATCGAACTTCCGTATTGGTAAATATTTTGCGAAGATTGTCTCTTACATGGTTTGACATACAATAGGTCAAGAGGATACTTGTACCTATTACCATAGGTTTATAAAGATACTGTACGTGCCGAGCTGACTCTTATAATTTGAATCAAATGAATTACCATAATCCTTGTTATTTCCTATAGGCTATTTTTAAATTGCAACGAAGAGCGCCAATCATATCAAGAAAATAATGATGAGTAAAAGAAGACTCACTCTGACTTGTAACAGATGTAGAGAAAGGAGAGTTCTGTGTGATAGAAGGAAGCCATGCTGGTCATGCGTTCGGAGCAAGAAACCTCATTTATGTGTTTATGACACGAGTAATGAACTCGAGCAGATGAGAGGGGGTTCTTCATTTCATATCTTCAGACTACCTGATGATCCAGATAGTCTTTTATTGGATATTCCTCTATCTGAAATATTATTGAAACTAAATGGGAAAAATTTGTTTAGCTCTAAGCAAGAACAGATAAACTTTTACGAAAGATACACAACCCGTCTTAGAGATGAACCAATGGAGATCGAATATGGTCCGTTAGCTTGGCCATTTATTGAACGAAAGGAGCCTGCATTGCATATGATGTTAAAGTATATTCGTGATTCAAAAATGAATAAAGACATGAATCTGAATATACTGGAATTTTTCCAAGCACCCAGCCTGAGAGTTACCGCTAATGATCAAGCTGAATGTTGGCATGAAACAACCAATACTATTCTCCTAAGAATCAAGAATATTTTACCATCTAGAAAAATTGCTTGGAAACTCATATCAATATTTTTTCAACATGTCTATATATTTATGCCTATCTTGGATGAAATATCATTTCGAGAAGAAATGAAAAGGATTATTGGTCCTGAAGAATATTCTACCAACAATATTAATCCATCTATCCAGAAAATAGATGATTTTGCTGTTATTGGAATTTTACTCATATTACTACGCATAGCTTCCTTACAAGAATATAAGAATTATGGTTGTTATGTTTCAGATAATGAACACATAGGGTCAGAAAATATTGATGTAGCAATTATGTGCTTACGACGCTACAATTTTATGGGTCAAATAAGTCTATGTGTTTTTCAATGTGCTTTTTTTTTGAAGCTTTATCAAAAGGTTTGCCCGGCTTTCCATGAAGATTCACAAAATAGAAATTCAAAAGTGTATAACGGTATGCTTGTACAAATGGCGTACTCGCTAGGTTTGAATAAGAACTCTCATTTGACTGACCAGCGCATGAATAGCTTAAGAAGAAAAATATGGCATCTTTTGGTTTTATTTGACATAATAGAATCATATTCTTTCGGTTCTCCATTAACTGCAAATAGACTTCATTCCACATCAAGACTCATTACTCCTAATGAAATTGATGATAATAACTCAAATAATTTAGATTGTGCTTTGGAACGGTCAGTAGTTCGTCATTTGATAACCCTGATGGATAATATGGACCCTCTAATTGATATTCTTGATAAGATTCTTGATGTAAAAGGACAGACTAAAATTTCAAGTTTAGTGAATTCAATAATTAAGGTGGAGATAAGAATATCAACATGTTTTGGATTTTTAAAAGAAAATTTGGTTCCTATATCAGAACATACATCTACAGTGGAAATTCATGATAAGATACATAGAATAAAATCATTAATATCTATAAAGATCTTTTTGTTATCAATATATCAGCACCTAGCAATACACTTTCAGCATACAAAGAATATAAGATTAGCAATGTTTTACAGGAAGAAAATTCAATGTATAACTATCGGTGAGATGTTGCCCTTAGTGTTGCCGCTAACAAAAGATATGAGAAATTACTTTGGAAACCTTGGAATATTAGTAATAACTTCATTTTTCTTTCAATCCATTTATAGAACCACTTTGCTGAACATTGAGGTATTAATTCAATTGAATTATCAATCTTACTATTTTACAGATATTTATTCTGAGAAGAAAAATGAATCTTCCGTTTACTCTTATCTTTGCAAAGCAATTGAGAAATTAGAAAAGTGCATAGGTATATTCATATTGTGTATCTCAAAATTGTCTAAAGAGTACAACTACACACGCAAACCCAAAGATTTATTGAATGCTTATTTATCTATCCTCAAGAAAGATGATTTTTATGAGAGTAATGCTAACGATAAAGCATTGAAAATGAAGCTTACAACTGACTATTTAAAGCAGATGTGTTATATATACGATGCTGCGTTGGAGGAAATCGCAGACTCTCCTTATGGCTTGGATTCTGCTGAAATATCCTACTGCAATAATGATATCGATGAGAAATATATTTTCAGTTCTACTGATCTTGCGACTTTAAATTTTGATACAACAGACTATCTTAGTCTGTTTGGTAATAATTACAACATAGTGGATGTAAATAATTCCTTTTTCGCAGATGTTGAAGGTTTATTTCAAAGTTAACCTTTTACAGAGTTAGGTCGCTGTTATATTTATTTAATCTGACATTATCTTTATTAATTATATATTATTAGTTATTCTATAGATGGGTAATTTAAACAAAAATAGACATTATAATTGAAACACCGATAATTACGGAACTAATTGTAGAAGTAGAACCAGAATTGTCTGAAGATTTTGCACTTACTGAAGCAGTAGCTGAGCTTGATGAGCTGGCCTTCTTGGCAGAGTCAGACTTAGTAGAAGAGGACTCGGTTGTGGCATTCGCTTCAAGTGAAGTCGATGTTTCTTTTGAGCTACTGGTTCCCTTATCGGATGTAGTCGAAGCGCTAGATGAAGAATCAGTCTTTGAAGCTGTTGACTTTGAGTCAGATGAACTTGAGTCAGAAGATGAAGTGGACGAAGCAGAGCTCGAAGATTCGACGCTTGATGAAGATGAACCATCGCCTCCTTCGATATTAACTTTGTCAATTCTGCCATTAATTTCACCATCTTTAGCCTTGATTGATGTCCAATCACCAGATTGATCATCGTAGGAATACTCTTTACCGGTAGAATAATCACTAACAACTAAACTCTTAATTGTCATTGAAAAAGGTGCTTCAGTGTAATCAGTTTCACCACCAGCCCATTCAATAGTACCGGCAGCATTAGATGGATCACCACCAGCCCAAGCACCCATCATTAAATACATAGGAGTTTGTGGATAACCTTCAGATGATGAGTTCTTCAAAGTTCTTACGGCGTCACCATCCAAGTACCATATACATTCCTCTTCAGTCCAGTCAATGGTATAATTATGAAAGCCCGTTTGAGGAGAGTCTCCCAGAACTGTGTGATACTCACCTCTATCGTACGTGGAAGTGTCACCTTTTGAGAAATAATTAGACTGGAATTGCGTGTCATCACCTCCCAAGAACTCAATATCAATTTCATCTAAGTCATCAGATTGGAGATAGAAATCTGAAACAATACCAGTACCATTAGCAGCCTTCATGTGAACTTCAACTCTTCCAAACATAATATAGAATTTAGACTTCATTGCTGGATTGTCGTATCTCTTTGCTATGGTCATCGTCAATCCGTCGTCACCAAATGACACACCAGATTCAGTTGAAGTAATTTCAAACTGTGTGGAATTACTTGAAAAATCCTCTGAAAGGTCAGTTGCCAATGCCTTATCAGCGGGACAATTTGATGATGAAATCGGATTACAAGTACTCGACGTAGAAGTTGCGGCAGAACCCAATGCAATGATAGATGAGAATGCTAATAAACTTTTCTTAATTTGAACCATGTTACTTCAATATTAAATATATATATATTCAAGAGCACTTCATAAATGGTGGAATATGTATACCCTTATATACTAAAGTAGGTATCAAAATGCTTAGGAATTGTAAATTTGCAGCCTTGGAACGCCGGGATTTGAAATCTCAATTGTTCGGCATTGGAAAACGCGAACCCGTACCTTGATCACCCATCTGAGTTAAATTAAATAAAAATAAAGGCTTTCGAGACTCAGAAAATGGCTTAACACATTACCAGGCTGTGAAAAAAAAAATTCCTACCGTGTATCTGTTACCATAAATAGAAATATAATGTATCATTTCGAAGGTACTAGACACAAGACGAAACAAGGCTCGAGAGCACTGTCTTGCTGTAAGGTATAAAGTAAGAAGATAATCAAACTAGTAACCTTTAACACATGTAATTAAATGGCATTTTCGTATAGTTCTATATAAGCCTAGTATTTGATGCTGGTATTCGAATGGCATACAAAGGGCTAAAAATTTCCAAATTGCCATAATTCTTTGTCATAGCCTTCAGTAACTTCTGCATCTTCTCCGTATTCTTGTTGCCATTTTGAAAACCCACCCTGTAATACCCATATGTTCAAGTTATCGAAAAATTCACGCTTTTTAGGATCGACCACATCTTTTAATGATCTCATGAATCTCAACGTCGCTTTGGGCCCTCTCGCCTGCGATAACATACAATGGAAAACTACATCGTTGATCTCATTCTTCAATAGTCTGTCTTGAAGATCTCCTAAACTCGTTTCGAAGCTTCCAGCCGGATAGTGGTAACATCCTTTTATATGGCCCCCAACATAATCGGATTCTCTAACGTCTACTACAGCAAATTTTCCAAAGCCTGTAGATGACCCACTATTAAACCAGCTGCGGAGTTTACTGGGTTTAAGTAGCTTAATATCTGAAACAGAATATATTCTTGACATGATAATTAATGAAACCTCTGTGTGTACTTCAAATACTTAACATCATACTACACTATGTTTGCTTTACCAACTTTCTTCGATTAAGTATTATTCACGTGATTTTGTGTTCACATGGGACCACATTGTACCGTCTAAATTTTCACTATTAATACTACTTTGCTAGTTTGATTATAACTATCTACAGCCAAATATTTATCGGTATTATTACTATAATTATTGGTCATTGGTCATTTAATCCCATTCGAGTTTTTTTGGATTTTTTTTGTTTATTTGGCGTAAATTTTTGATAGGTTTTATCAAAATATATATTTTCGTGATTGAGCAAATCAAGATTCCCTTGATTCGTTAAAATTTTTGGAATTGCTAATCAAATTAACTAAAACATAATGTCACAAGATCCTAGAGCTAATTCTGCAGAAGTTGCTGACTTGAAAACTGGAAGCCCGTTAGGTAGAACCATCTCCGTTGATTCTATCGCATCGTTATTTAGAAAGAGAAAGAGAGCTAACAGTGAATCTGTGTCGTCAACTCCAGCCGAATCGCCACATGATTCGGATGCTAGTGAAAGTGACAAGGACAGCACGCGTGAATCAAAGAGAAGAAAGGTCAAAACAAAAGAAGAGATAGAACTTGAGGAAAATGAAAAGAAGTTGGATGCTGAGTTACCAGAAGAACTAAGAAAATATAGGCCGCTTGGGTTCAAGTTCAATATCCCACCTAAAGATAGACCAATCAGAATTTATGCTGACGGGGTGTTTGATTTGTTTCATTTAGGTCATATGAAGCAATTGGAGCAAGCCAAAAAGGCATTTCCTAATGTTGCCTTGGTTTGTGGAATTCCTTCTGATGTCGAAACCCACAAAAGAAAGGGATTGACTGTGTTGACAGATAAACAGAGAATTGAAACATTGCAGCATTGTAAATGGGTTGATGAGGTTATTCCAAACGCTCCTTGGTGTGTAACTACTGAATTCTTACTCGAGCATAAGATTGATTATGTTGCCCATGATGATTTGCCTTACGCATCTACTGATTCAGACGATATATATAAGCCCATCAAAGAAATGGGAATGTTTTTAACAACCCAAAGAACAGAGGGGATCTCTACTTCAGATATAATCACCAAAATCATCAGAGACTATGACAAATATTTGATGAGAAATTTTGCTCGTGGGGCAACAAGAGAAGAATTGAATGTCAGTTGGTTAAAGAAAAACGAGTTAGAGTTTAAGAAACATATCAATGATTTCAGATCCTACTGGATGAAAAATAAAACTAACATCAATAATGTCTCCAAAGATCTTTACTTCGAAGTGAGAGAATATATCAGAGGTAAGAAAACAGGATCATCTCCTCTGTCAGATAACAACAGTATTACTTCAGAATTCGATGAGGTAAATTCTAGAGCTAATTCTCCTTTGACCGATTTTGCTTCCAAATACATTGGAAATGCAAATAAAGATCTTAATGGTAAGTCTATTCTAGCCAATGTTAAAGGATGGATAAAAGGTGATGAATTATCAGCCAATGAAAAATCTGATCCATCTCTTGAATCCTTATCTAGAAAATCAACTAGGTCTTCTACTAGATCCTCGAAATTGAGCAACGATAAATCTTCAGCATCATCTGTGTCGAGTTCCAAGTCGCCTAAAAAAGCACTCAAGTCAGCCACAAACACTCCAAAGCTTTCAAAGAAAATCAACAAGAGAACTCAAAAATCTAGTTAAACTTATACCATATGCACAAATCTCATCCTTCAAACTACAGTATACTTCTTATTGTATTAGATAAATTCTACAACATATGTTAATGTTGAAGATTACATATTTCTTAATATAAATAATTAAAATTATTTTGTTTTGTAGGCAATTTATGGCCTTTGATCTATTAAAGTGCGAATACTTAGACGAGTTGTGTTTTTATCTGTAGAAATCAATAGTCAAAATACTATTCATTTAATTGCAACATTATGACGGAAAGTCTTGTTTATTCGGGAACAAACGAACTTGTCAATACTGATGAGGAGAATACGCAAACAGCACAGGCACATTTTCTATCATTAGAACAACTACAGATGCAATTAAAGGCACAACAGGAATTGTTCCAACAGCAACGAGAACTTTTTAATAATGATAATGTACACACCAGCCCAATCCCTACTCTCAATCATACATGGAGCTTTACGCAAGGACTTGTTGTTGGTCAGTTAAGCGTGATTGTGGTGGTAGCGATATTCATAAAATTTTTTGTATTTGCTGATTCTTCTGCTACAACAACCACCACAAGTTCTTCCAATAAAGATATATCAGGGATAATCGTGAAGAGAAACAAAAACTTAAGAGGTACACTGAATGAAGATAAAGATCTAAATGGTGGTAAAGAGGATGAATACAATCTGCCTAATTTATCGAAAATTTCTACAATATTGGAAAAAACTTATTATGATGTAGAAAATCATTCACCAGAATCACTAGACTGGTTTAATGTCCTTATAGCGCAAACTATATCCCAATTAAGAACTGAAGCATTGTTATCGGATAATATTTATCACTCTTTAAATGAATTTTTAACAAACCTGGATCTTCCAGATTATCTTGATAAGGTTAAATTAACGGAGATAGATATAGGAGATGATTTTCCAATATTTTCAAACTGTCGTATAAAGCATAGCAAAGATGGATCTGGTAGACTAGAAGCCAAAATTGATGTCGATTTATCAGATACTTTAACGTTAGGTATTGAAACAAGGCTTTTGTTGAACCATCCGAGACCTTTAACTGCCGTCTTACCGGTTCAACTATCAGTATCAATAGTGAGATTTTCAGGATGTTTGACTGTTGCTTTAATAAATACTAATGACCAAGAATTTTTGGACTTACAAAACGTTACAACCCAGTCTCCTGAATCATCTAATGAACCAAATTCTCAAAACCAATCTCAACAATCAACGCCTGCAAATAGCTCAAACTCAAGAGTTGAAAATGAGGGATCATCCAATACTGAAGCAAAACACTCTAAGTCTAAAAAGTCCCAAGAAGAGACAGGAACGGCATTGATGTTTTCATTCTCACCCGACTACAGACTTGAATTTACTGTAAAATCGTTAATTGGATCTAGAGCCAAATTGCAAGATGTTCCAAAGATATCTTCATTAATAGAAAGTAAATTGAGAAGCTGGTTCATTGAAAGATGTATTGAACCAAGATTTCAGGTTGTTAAAGTTCCATCATTATGGCCAAGGAGACAAAACACAAGAGAACCTGTTCATTCGAATGTGAATGGCATTGTAGATAAAACTGAAGAGGCGCTGATATAAACTGTGTATTTACTTAATCATACGATTTCTTTTATTTGTGACGAGATAAATTTAGTCAGGGACTACATTTAATGACTTTTGAATATCGATATTCTCGTATATTCATTAGTGTCAATCGAAATATTTTCTATAGATCTATTTTGATTAAAAATACATATATGCTCTTAAAATCTCGATATATGATGCACGTCATAGGTGTCTAATTGCAAAAAAGTTTTTTGTATCCGAAACCTCAATTTGAATCAATCAAAACCGAAAAGTTCATTTATTCTTAAGAAAAAGTATTTTAGTAACGGAGGGACTTATATGTTAGCTGCGGATATTCTTCTATGCTCCATAAACCTGTAATAGATGCTTTATTTATTGGTTTTCGCTGCCATTTTCATCGCTGTCACTCTCAATATCTACTTCGCTTTTTGTTTCCTCTTCTTCGATGCCTTTATTTTCATTCGCTTCATCTTCGCTATCTTCTTCGCTCTCTTCCTCTTCACTGTCTTCTTCCTCTTCATCTTCGCTATCTTCTTCATCACTTTCTTCCTCTTCACTCTCTTCTTCACTTCCGAAGAATTCGTCAAGACTTTGTAAGTGATATACCGGCTTAGGAATTATTTTATCAACATTACTATTCTGGTATTGTCGAGAAGAAATTGCATGCTCTGATAGCGGCTCAGGAGACGTAGATTTATTGTGCATTGATGACGATGAAATAGATACTATTTTTCCACCTAAATTATTGGATTGGATTGGCGCCACCTTTCTTATTGAAGATGGAGGGTGAGTGGAAGGATCGGCCCACTCTATTATATTGAAATACTTCAGCAATACATTGGTTGTAGAAAATTCATTAGAATTAATTCCTTTTGAAAATAATGTGGATAAGGGGACAGGTTTAGGAACACGTAAAAATAATGAAGCCAACTGAGATTGCTTACTACCAGTATTCAATAGAACATTAAACATTCTAGCCCTATCTCTCGTATCATACGAAGGATCATATTTTGCTAATTGCAAGACATGTTGAAACATTTGAGATACAATGTTTTCCTGTAAAAACTCCTCAATCGCCAAAGAGTTGTCATCACCAACTTCGTTCTTAACTTTATCTAATTCAAAGGATAATATCTTTGCAGATAATACTAATGTCTCATACCTAACTATCTCCGATTCTAATGCAAATGTTTTTATTAATAATCGTAACACATCTGGGCCTATGCTATTGTTGGCAGCTTCAGTGAATTCTCCAATTATCCATATGATACTAGCCTTTGCTTCGCTTTCTAGATTAGACCTCCCATCTTGTAAAACTAAAGATAATCTATAACTACTTTTAATGATATCTTCTTTTTCCTTTACATCCATAAAATTTTGCTTTTGTTGTATTAAATATCTGATAACAGTTAGTAACTCATTCAAAGATGAGCCACCTAAAATTTTTATTTGCTTTAAGCACCACTTCAATATTTTCTCATTCCAATATGGAGAAATTTGTGAGCAACTACCAATAGCCCTAATAGCTTCATTTGCAATCTTAATTTCCATTGAATTCACAGAGTAATACTTCAATTCCTCGAAAATATATTTCACATTATCTTCATTAGCCAACAATGATAAAATCTGTAGCTTCACTATAGAAATTGAAACTGGGTCAGTAGGATATACATAAAACTTTTTAAAGTATGGTGAAAAAATAGTTTGATCACTCGAAGATAATGAAGCAATCGTGTGTAGGGCATATAATGAAACTTGAATGTTATTCAATGAACTTGCCAATTGACTTAAAGCCACATTTATTTGTAATTCTTTGTAGATGCGTGGTGGTGTCAATGAAGAAAGTGCTTTAGATATACTCAAAATGACGAATTCTGACCTGGAGTATATCAATGGTTTCAATGAATCAACAAATAATTGAAGGTCTTTATCCATTGATACTTCATACTCCTGAAAAGGAATTTTAGAATAATCATCAGGTAGATCAATTACTTGACTTGAATCATTCTTCAAGTAAAGTTTTGGTCTAGGTAAAAACACTCTTGAGTATTCTGTTAAAATCTCAATCATGAAAGATTGGCTCCATTCATCTAATTCACGGACAATATTACAAAAGCGACGAAAGTTCCCATGCATTGGCTCCCACTTTTTGTGATTTGATTTCAAGTGAGGCATTACTTTAAAATAAGTTTTAAGAGCAGTGCCTACCACCTGCGAATTACTATCAGCCAATAGCTTCGACAAATATTCCAATAATTGCTTATTCTTCGTATTTTCCATGTCATAAACTTTCCCAATGGCAATTGCCGTTGATGCTCTTACTAATGGAGAGGGATCAGAAATAGTTCGCTTAATACATAACAGTAATATTGGAGCTATAGATGCAATTCTGATACCAGCCATAGATCTAATTGCAGTTGCTCGATCAATTGGATTTTTATCATTCAAAGACTTCTGAATAGAATTAATCGACAAAAGGGCTGTATCAGGTTCGACCTCTGCATATCTAGTTAGATATATTAAGACTAAGTTCTTAACCTTGCTGTTGGCAGAAGTAATATTCTTGACGACATCAGCAAAATACGGTAGCCCATCTTCTCCCCTTGCTATTGAAGATATGACACATTTCATGCCACTTAGATTGTCTCTGTCCACCCTAGAATTTAATAATTTAGAAATTTCTTTAGGTCTCAATGCACTTGGTGTTTCCGAAAGCCTTGATGAGGCAGACGCAGCCACTTCAATAGTTAAGTCCCTAGCAGACTCCAACATTGAAGATATTTTGGCCAATGACTCCGTCATACTGCTTTATGGGGTTAAATTCTCTTATTCTAAATTACAATACTGTTACTATTTGAATCGAAATATAATATATCAAAGCGCCAAATTTAGAATTCCTATTTGGGAAATATGTACAAATATTCTAGAAAATAGTTCTCACAATTTTTTATTCTTATTTAGTCTGTGTGCTGCAGTTTTCATTCTCTTACCCAAACCAATTTCCTTTCTTGTTTGAATATATTCTTGAGGAAAAAACTCGCTAATAGTTGATTGGGTACCTTCAGCCTTTTTACGATTCATATCTCTAATAAGGGGTACCATTACTTCGTCGACTCTTGCTTGTGACCAGCTCACGTTATACATCAAGAAAGACCTGATTTGATCTAAGCTAGGAACTCCCCATTTAAATTCACTGTTATCATGATCAACTTCAGGTCGCTTATAAGCATCAAAAACTATATTGTCTGGAAACGAATCTGGTAAAAAAAACTTCCCACTCTTAATTCTATTCAACAAACTCTTTTTAATATTGGTTAGACCTGATTTATCGGGAGGAACAGTGGTCTTCGTATTTTCATCGAACCATTGCTTAAAATCTTCAAGGGATCCAAACTCTGCTAATATTTCCATCGCCATTACCGGACCAATTCCCTTGATTCCTTCCGTATAATCACTACCTAGGAGAAGCGCTAACTCGATTAATCTCTCTTGCGATAGGCCCATTCTTGAGTTAATATCATGCATTATATAACACTCCACGTATTGCTTTTGATTGAACATATTTTTATAAACCTTGTCACCGCCAAATAAGAAGCAATCGCTATCATCCGTAATAATACCATCAATCAAATTTAGCTTTAGTAATTCAGCACATTGGGCTTCGGCTTCCATGGGAGCTGTAATATAGGGTATTCCAAATCTTCTCAATAATTCTTGAACATCTCTTATCATAGTTTCTGTGACTTCATCAGAGTCTCTTTTGGCCTTCTGTAATTGTTCTTGTAAAAGCTGCTCTTCTGTCACACTCGTATGAATGGGAGAAGGAGGAATTTCATGATTTGCTCTTATATGAGATTTGAACATTTCATGTTCATTTTCTTCTTCTTTCATTTGTTCTACCAACTGTTCTTCATCCTTTTCTTCAAAATCGTAATCCAACACAACCCCTTTTCTGTTTCTACCTTTATCCGTATGTTCATTCCTTTCTTTATCAGCGGCATCTTTTGTGTCATTGATTATATCTAAACTTTGTACTGGATTATTATTATTATTTTTATTATTATCAACCGTTTCACCATTATTAGCTTGGACTTCTTCTATAGAAACGTCAGAATATTCGTTTTCATAATTATCCCCTATAATATCCTTAGCTTCGTTCCACGAAATCAAGCCTGCTTCCTCATCTTCTTGGTACTTTCTCTTTTTCGAATCATTTTCTGGTACAAATGTCTCTTGTTCATAATTCTCCTTTGGATATATTTCCTCGTTAAACCACAGAGGTAGTGGTTGGTTTTTAATTATTTCTTTCGTGCTATTATTAATGCCATTGTATAATTTGGTTTTTTCCTCACTTATATCTGGTGATTGGTTCTCCATATGAGCTTCTTTCGATTCAAGCTTTCTTGCAGTGCCCTCTAGCTTTGCAGTATTATGCATATTTGAAGTTATTTCTTTCTGAGAATTCACATTTGATATTGAAATTTTCTTGTCATCACCATTTGTTAATGTAAGTAACTCTTTATAATTTTCGGGCTTTTGTTCTTCATCTGCTTTAATTTTCAGGTCATCTTGAAACAATATTGATTTGCCAAACGAGAAACTCGGCAATTCTGGTAAGAGCTTTGAATCTCCTTCATTTTTTTGATTATTTTGTTGGTCATGAATATCATCTGTCCTTAATTCGTTTCTCCAATTTAAAATTCCATTCAGCACCATATTCTCTTCTCTAATCTTTAGGTCGAGCAAATCTTTTTTTGAATTTTCAATGGCTTGTTTTAATTCTCTAGAATCGTAGTCATCTGAAGTTTTATCTTCATACATGTTGTAAATAGACTCTATAATCGCTTTCTGAACATCCTTTTCTTCTGCAGTCTCCTCGGAATTATTACCATCTAATGGCACATCATCCCATTCAATATCTTCTTCTTCTTCTTCTTCTTCTTCTTCTTCTTCTTCTTCTTCTTCTTCTTCTTCTTCGTTTTCTTTCCTCTGTTCTTTATTTTTATCTGATTCAACAATTGTAACCTTATGACTTTTTCTATTCTCTTTATTATTATTATTATTATTATTATTAGTAGTAGTATTATTATTATAGTCAACTTTTTTATGGTTTGCATCTATAGCATTATCCAATGAAATAGGCTTATCAATTGAGGACCCATTTTCATCTAAAGCTAAGGTCCAGCCATCTTCATTCCTAACCAATGCGTACTTTCTATCCTTATCTCCTGCAATTCTTCTGGTAGCATTTCCCTCATCTCCCATTCCACTAACGTTCATCAATTTTTGTGTATAGAAGTTTCTCTTCTGCACTTGTTGAATCTGAAATTTAGAAAATTCCATACTGTCAGGGAACAAATTTTCTAACTGGTCTTTGTTGAACCCCATTCTCAACCTTGACCTCAATCTCAAATGTGATAAAGCCATGTATTGAGTTTCTAATGGTAACTCCAGAAACTCTTTTGAATTAGGATCCACTTTATTTATATCAACTCCATTGACAATGTCAAATGATTCTTTTGCTAACTCATCAAATTCATCCTCTGGCATGATTCTTAAATCACCCCTAGGGGCTTTTATCTCTTTTAATTCTGGTAAGTGATATTCATCCTTTTTTACAAATTTCGTATGCTTTTCTAGTGGAAGCAGGCTTTTGTCTTCTTCTCTACCCGGTCCATGAAGAGGGTGCTGGTTAGGTAAATCTTCCAAGTAGACTGTCTCATCATTTCTATCTTGATCTTTTTGCTCTTTTTGATTCTTCTGTCTACTTTTTACTTGATCTGCTTGTCTATGAACTTGAATTGCTAATAATTTACGAGCTGTTTGCTCTTTGCTTTCCTTTTTGCCTTCTCTTCTTTCTCGTCTTTGATTAATTGTTTGGCGCTTCAAAGCGGGTGCTCCACCATCAAAAACAAAAATAGGATATATCCCAAAATATAATAGCTTGCAAATTCTTCTAAAAAACCCTACTATATGTGCTTGTGGCATTGAATTTCCTTCTTGATCTCTAACTGCCTTCAAAAACTGATAAATCCAAATCGACGCATCAACGGCTAATTTTTTTCTCGACAAAGCCTCCAACCTTACAGGTCTTGCTGATGGTCCTAGAATATCCCATAAAGAGTTCACACCCATAGCGAGAAATTATATATTCATGTAGGTTGCAACTAACGCCTACTCCTAATAGAAGAAACAGTTGCATTTAATGAATATTAATTTGATGCTTATGTAATCCACAATTGCATATACCTTTATTGAAGAGAAATCAAAATAGGTGTCTAAATAGCATACTATTAAGATTCAACGACCGTTACTGTGAAGATTAGTACTTTGAGAAATAATATGCAATAGAGGGAGATTTATATTGTAAGTTAGTTAAATATAGAATCCCTTAATTTAGTCAAATTGCGGCTTTCAAAATGATTGCAAAAAGCCTTTTTGCAATTCCACAAATCCATATGTAGCCTCTATTCACTTTTTAATTGTTTACTAATATAGGAAATATATATTTCCTAAGGCCATGGAGTCGGTTTCAGAGTTAAATATGGCACCCAATAATGGAAATACACCACTGAAATTTGAAACTCTTGAAAATTATCAGAATTTACAACAGCAGCAGCAATATTCACCATATTTTTCTCAGAGGAACTATATTCTTGTGAACTCTAATGAACAGAAAATTACAAATTCCACTATGAACAATGGTTCCCAGGATCATCAATTGCTTTACTCAGAGATTCAATCTAACTCTCTTAGGCCAGCTCATATAATTTCTCCAAGTAAGCAAGCTCCCGAAGGATATATCTGTGTCGGACGAGTTATTGAGTCCCCAACAAAAAATGCATCTCTCAGTCCAAATCAGAAGGGACTTTTCATTTTAAATGAAGACTCTAATATAGTTATGCTGGAGTTTCCATCAAACTTTAATCCCAGAAAAGCTAGTAATATGCCACCCAAGGAGAAGGTAAATAAATGGATCCAGAACGTTCCATTTAGAATTATACACGATGATATACTAATACTGGAATGCTACCCTGCTATTCCGTCGTCTAGTAGTAATTCTGAACCAAGCATGGACTTTGCTGATAATCAAGACATTTTAGAATTGCAATGCAGAAGAATAACTCGTTATACTACTCATATGTATACGAGAGAAGATGAACCTGTTGCGCGTTTTGATGAATCTTCTGATGATGAGTTTTATGACAGCGAAGGTAACTTGATTCAATACGACACAAACATAGCTCATATGGAGAGCACATTTGATAATTTTTTTAGTGGTAAGGGTAACCAGCCAATTGAGTATATTATTAACTCTACTTTGTGATTTATAGTTCGTATATACATATAAAATAGTAAATAGAATAGAATTTATAAAGAACAATTATATGTTCATCTAAATAAATAATTCCAATTCTTCGACTTCATAATTTGTAGTATCATCATCTTGAATTTTTTCAAGTTGCGGATAATAAGGAACAAGAGCGTCGCTGTGTTGAACATAAGCGCTATTATATAATTTCCAGTATGGATTTCTGACTTTCCTTGCTGGATGAAATAATCCTGCCCAAATATAATTCGAAAAGCTACCCATCCCAATCACTGCTCTTATTGCTTCAATACTTTCTAAAATACGATTAATAACGTGAGGTGAAGTCTCATACACGTTAGGTAGGAGCAAATTCAAGTAATGGATAAAAACATCATAATAATCATCATTAGTTAAGCCGATACAATTTAGTGCCATATGCCTGATCACGGTAGCCGCAGTTTGGCGGTGGACTTGGTCTCGATCCGTCAATGCATCCTCAAGCAAAGGGGTTATCGCAAATAAGTAATCCTTGGTCATATTGCCATCAATGTACTCAAACAAAAAGCTGAGTGCCTTCAAAACACCATTTTGCACATTATTTTCAGGTATTCTATACTCATTCATGAGCGCCGGGAGAACAGTAAATGGAGCACATATTTCAGCCACGATACCTATAGCTACAGCCGTACACACCCTTAGTTGACGTTCCTGGACCCTTAAATTATTTAGTAACATTGCAAGAACATCCTGAGGGCCTATAGTACGTGCTATATAACCAAATGTATCATTTGCAGCTATCCTTATACGTTTCTTAGGGCTCTTCAACATATCCAATAGCTCAAAACAAATACGCATCCATTCCTTTGCATTAATGGTCTCAGAATTTTTTCTTGCAATTAGTCCCACTAGTTTTATACAAGACTCTTGAACCTTATCCTGTCTATTCTTCAATATAGGTGTCAAAGTAGGTAATATCTGATTGATTGAGGGGTTAGACATTGCATATAAGGAGTTTTTATCAACACTATCGATACAAGAGTACAATGCACTCAAGATCGATCCTAAAACATCTGGATAAATTTCTCCTAGCGATTCGTATAAAATTAAAATTAATTTCATTATTACTTCATCATCACCCTCCGAACATTTTTTTATGATAGGCGCTATTATTGTTATTAAGTCAGAAGCTTGTTGTCTTATTTCTGGGGTTTTGTTCTTCAAACGGTATAAAATAGTACTAATTATTGAATTCATATGTGGCTTAAGCCTCACATTAAGAGCTTTCGATACAGAATCAAATACCGTCAAATATACCCTATGATAAACTGATTGCTCTTGAAACGCAAATAATATACCATCTACTAGTTTGATTTCAAGCTGAGAATCGAGTCCTATAAGATAGTCAGCATTTGAAGAAACCATCTTGTTTATAGTCTCAACACACATCCTCCTTAAAGATTCATTTTCATCTTTGGTATAAATTACAATGCATTCTAGAACTTCTAAGAAATCAAATTTGATCGCAAGCTGTGAAGTAGTATCAACAACTAGTTTGCTCAATTGCTGTGAATCTGAGGCTGTTCTCCTATTCCAAAAAAATTTTAAAAATGGCTTTATTATTTCTTTATTATAATTCTTGATTAAATGTCTGGATAATGGTAAGTTGATCATGATCTTCAAAATTGTAACTTTCATATCATTGTCCGGAGAGTTGAATTCTCTCGTAATAACCGTCATTAATTCTTTTGTATAATAATTAGCATATTCTTCATAATTCGGATCATGACACATCAAAGGAATTATTGAGCCAATGCACTTCAAAAAGCTAGCCAAGCCTTTGCCTCTATGACTTCGCAATCCCAACCAAGCAGGCTCCAAAACCTCTTCGAACGATCCAATTCCGTATGGCTTTACATTTTCTGCTAGCTGAGATAGAGTTAATGCTGTCATCGTACGAACTTGTAATATTTCATCTGTTAAACCAGGTTTTAAAACGGTCATTAACTGGGATAAATATGGCAAGATGGAATTACCATTTCCACCCCCTAATATTATACATAACTGTTGAACAATTTTAATCCCAGTATGTCTTACCATCCAATTCTTCTTGGATTTTATCACCGCCTTCAAAAATGGAATGAAATTTACCAAACCTAAAGTATTTGCGACAATAGCAAACACACGGGAAGTCACATTCCTAACATATTCATCGACATGATCTAAATCAGGTCTCAAGTTTGCAATCATATTAGCCAATCCAGCGGCTTTAGTCAAACTAGAAATTATGTCCCTTGCCTCTAATCTTATCGTAAAATCTTCATCTATTAACAATGGAGAAACAACCATCAAAATCTTATGTGTATAAGGTCTGACCAAATCATCCAAGTAGAATAATATCCTTCCAACCAATTTAACCAACACATGTCTTTCATGATCATCCAAATTGGGTTCTAGTAGAAGTGGCAAAATTTGATTGAACAAAACTTTTGGACCAAATGTGCGTGCATTATCAGTCAATTGACGTAAAGATTTCTTACGAGTACTTGGAGTACCATTCTTTATCTTCAACAAGAGCCTCATAAGCTTAATTTCTTTCTTTTGTTCCAGAGATGCATCTTCTTCATCGTGTGTAGTTATCAATTTGCCAAAATATTTCATATCTTCCTGTTTAATGAAACTTAAACCAGTCACACCCGGAATATCTGTAGTCAACTGTTGCTCCATCAATTTTTTTGTTTGAATGCTATCTTGGTCAACTGATGGAGGAACGTAATAATTCGAAGAATTTTCAGTCATGTCAGGAGCTATAGAGAGGTCAAATTGTTCAAACCCATCAGGTGGAGGAACCAGTACATATCCAGAAGGTATTATTTTATCAAGTATTTCATTTGTTAATGGAATACCGTTAATAATGGGTATATTTCTGTCTTCAATAATCAAGGTTTTTGATTGTTCATCCTCATGAGGTTTCGTTTTCTTCGCTGATTGTACAATTTCCTGCTGATCAGTCTCATTTTTAGAAATTTTCTCTAATATGTCGTCAGGCCCAACATCCCACCTCCTTTTTCTCTGTCTCCTTTTAGGTTCGTTGGTTATCTCATTCTGAGCTGTTCCCCTGTCTTCTTCTTTTTTCTTGATTAAGTTTCTTACATTCGCCTCCTCTCTTTCAAACTCACGCTCCTCCATTGTTTGTTTATACGTTTTCATATTATCAAGGTTTAAATCTATATTTCTATTAAACTTCCTTTGTTGGTAGTCATTTTTACCAAGGTTCTGTTTCAAATCTTGCGAAGAGATAGCATCCTCTTGTTTATGCTCCTCTCGAATCACATCGGCCAATGCCGTGGGTATAGTATAGCTGCCTACCAAATTCTTCTTCTTCTGCTTTTCAGATGGCATCTTGCTACAAATTAATGATTTAATTTCCTTTGCATGTATTGTCAATATCTCTACTGATAGCACTCAGTTATATTTGATGAGTCGTGTGCGAGCAATATTGAAGTGAAGCGATATATTGAAATCATATTGTAAGGTACTAAGCTTCACATTTTTTGATAATAGATAGCCATGTCTAGTCAAAACTCTACCGTCCTATTAAATAGGTTGTTTTCTTTAAAGGAAAGTTCCCCCTTTATACTAGTTTTGGATTCATTAATTCAATCTTCATATAATGTCCTTAAAGAATTCGCATATAAAAGTTCTAACAACAAAATCATATATATTTCATTTGAAACGTTAAATAGGCCTTCATATGCTAGTTCATTCATAGAATGTTTAGGAATTAGTGCAGCAGAAGTCAGTGATAAAATCAAATCAGAAGTATTGGGAGTTGGAGAAACAACAACAAGCAAATGCTTAGTTATAGTCGATTCATTGAATTATATTGCAAACGATGAACTAGCCCATTTTATATCCAGCACGATACTGCCAAATGTTACATTGGTTGGTGTTTTCCACACAAATGTGCCACAACCTCATAGTAACGTTATGAACTATCCATCTTCTTTAAATTTGTTGTCGTACATTGCCAGTTCTATCTTTGAAATAGAACCATTGCATCAAGATAAAATAGACGAAGAAGCACTTGATAATAAAATAAGTAGATTGCAATTTCCAATAAATTGTTCATTAAACAGTACCACTTACAAGCTCACACTAACCAACAGAAGAAAATCAGGTAGATCGTTAATTTATCAATTTATTGTGAACTCGGTAACTCACACATATGAAGTTTTCAAGGAATCCAAGGAGGAAGATATCGACCCAGAAGATGAAAGTATGTTAAAGGGCTTAACAACATTTAACTTAACTACCAGCTCTAAGCAAAAACTTGCTAGAGAACAAGTTGAGCTTCCATTTATGCAAGCACAAGAGGCTTTGGGTTCATCAGGAGGAGCGATTGTATACGAATTTGAAAAAGACGATGATTACGATGAGGAGGACCCTTATGAAGATCCTTTCTAGTACATTGCTTGCCTACACCTCTTTCTCTGTATATAAATATAATGAATAATTAACTTTATAGAAACATACACTTAGACTAAAGGCAGTTATAGTATTTCAATAATATTATAGATGGTATATATCAAGAATTGGGTACTAAATTATTGTTTTATTGTTGTTGTAAAATATGTCAAAATATCTTAAAAATTGCAAAATTGCAAAATCTCAGTATAATTTTTCTTCTAACAGATAACAAAAAGTACACTGAAGATTATGTAGGCCTATAAAAGCATTTAATTTCTGTTTTTCTTATCGCCATACTTAAATCAAATTATCAAAAACAATTACATATTTAGGATATCAACAAATTGAGAAAAAGTTGACGAAGTTATTTTTTATTAGGTATGACGCTTCTAATCTATAAAGATATTATATATTTAGAATCTTTGCCACTAAGCAGTCTTTAGCGGCGGGTTTTAATTGTCCCTATTTTATCCTTTATCCGATTAATAATAATACTTATTTTTCCATTGGCCGCTAATTTTTCAAATTCTTGTTCGGTAATAACCTTCTTAGTCAATAAGTTAAATATTGAACCAAAAGCTAAAGACATCACAGTACAAGTCAAGATGATGACATTGTATGGCATTGAAAAATCGGGAGTTGGCAAATATAACAATAGACTAGTGGTACGCATCTCATAAATGCTATTCTTTGCTTTATCTAATACAGTGATAACGGCCGGATCAATTGCGAAGCCATGATTTGCATCTGGTGGGTATTCTGCGTATAATAATAACGATTTATCAAATTGATATGTTAAGGTTATAGTTGTATTTGCTGGTAATGAGACCGAAAATTCCAAATGTGATGGCCTCGTTCTATCAATGGCAGGTTTATAGTAGCGATCTTTTATATAATTTGATTGTTCTGTGTCGATTTCATTTACTCCACTCTCATCTTTGACTGTCATGGTCAATGTATTTAAATACAATCTCATGTACCAAGGTAATGTTTCAAAATAAATAAAATCAATGGATTTAGTAGGAGAAGGGTTGGATAAAACTATACGGAACCCACCTTGGTCCTGTGAATATCCTGTTAATGAACGATACGCATGTAATGGTGGAGTCTCTATAGGAGCTGTCTTTCGACTATCACTAGAAATGAATTTGATATTGTATTTGAATGGTTCATCTACGAAGTACTGAATGAACTTGGAATCTGTCGATGCAGATAAAGTTGATACATCAGAGGATTCTTCAGATGACTTTATCACGTCTACTTCCCAAAAGTTTGAATCAATTTCAATATTGATAGCTGTTGTCTTGGAATCGCCAATCAAAGCAGGCCCATTAATAGTTCTACCAAAGACCGTGTCCAAGTCCCAAGTGACATTAGTCGGATCTCCAAGTGGAAAGCACTGCCAAATGTTAAATACTTTGGAATCATCACAACGCAATTCTTCACCTGGAGTAGGCCTTGGAATCCCTTCCTTCTTCTTACGAATCGACCTCATGATGTCAATAACTGAATTCACACTTTGATTCATCGATAGATGGCAAGTTGAACCAGCCTCATCACAATCTGTAATCACGTCGATGGACATACCATGCCACAACGAATCAAATACTCTGTGACCTTCTAACAACGATGAAATACCTGCCTTTCCTCTAGTAGGCAAAAGTTTCAAAAATGGAGTTAAGTTCTCGGTACAGATTGGCTCACTTGGAAGAGCAGCTCTCAAATAAAATAATTTGTTGCTTGGGTCCAGGATGAAGTGGCCGTTATTATTAGAATGATGCTTTGGTCTAGTTGTGATAGTATCATCAATAAAATTTAAAGATGCACAGAAAAATCCCGACAAAGAATTCGATAATTTATTCCAGTTTTTTTTAGCTATGTCTAGATTTGGAGCTTCTATAACTGCTGAGACTTCTACTCCTGTCCCACCGCTTTTCAAACCGTTCAAGGGTAAGCGTCCCCATAACTCAGAATCCCACCAACCCTGCGTAAATCTTAAATGTAACTCTCTCGTATTTGTTGACTCAATTATTGGGCCTAAGGATCTTGGGAAGTAATTATAATGTGTGCCATCGGATATAGCTTTATGACCATTTTCTAAAGTTTCATTGTAATAATTTAGCTTTGTTGGCAATGATTCGACATCAAATTGAAATGTAGCTAATAAACTATTCCGTGGTAAAGGCTTCAAGTTCAATGATTCAGTATATTTTTCGGCCCCAACTATTATGAACCAAACAGAAAGTAAACAAAGCTTCCAGAATAGCATTTTACTAACCTTGAATTGCTAAGATTGACTTTCTTAACTACATTAATCTATTACCATAGGCATTAATGAACGCGATGTTAGTACGACATTCTTGGACATGAACGACTTGCAGCGTTTATTTGTTTACTCTTCAGATACACGAAATATTCTATGAATTAGATCATAGAAATAGCAAGTTTTAATAGGGATGCTGAGCCAAACGGATGCTTCACTTATAGAACATGATAAAGAGAATATACAGCCTTTACCCGAAGGGAGGTCCGCATCTAAATTAGCATTGAATTTTAAAAACGCATCGAAATCGGTACTTAAGTACAAAGAACAACAACAAAAAAGAAGAGAACAATTTGAGTTACAATTAGAAAATTTTGAAGAATTAGATGACCCATTGCAGGTCTTCTTAGATTATATAAACTGGACCCACGAGACATTTCCTCAAGGTTCCAATACGGAGAGTGGGTTATTGGCATTATTGGAAAGATGCACCTCATGCTTTCGAGACGTAACACACTATAAAAATGACCCACGGTATTTGAAAGTATGGCTAGAATATACCAATTATTCTGATTCTCCTAGGGATATTTTTGTATACTTGGCCAAAAAAGAAATAGGTACTGAATTAGCGTTGTATTATGAAGAATTTGCAAAGTATTTGGAGCTTAATGAGAAGTTTCAAGACGCAACCCAGATATATGAAATGGGGGTTGAATATAAAGCAAGACCTTTAGTTAGACTTGAGAGGTCGTTTTCGCAATTCAAAGAAAGAATGAATGACCTGACTAGAAGAACAGATCGAGGAGATTCTTCCATGAAGAATGTTCTTGCCGTGAAGAGAGGTGATTCTGCTGTCCCAATTGGCATGGCTGATGCCCAGACAACAAGAAAAAGACCTAAATTGCAAGTGTTCGTAGAAGAAGAGGAAAAAAATAACGACATTTTGAGCACTCTATTTGAAGGACCTGTTAATCCACCTGAACTTGGATCTATCAAAACAAGAGTTAAAGAAAATATCTTAACTTCAAAGCCATGGTCGGGTGAAACTCTAAAACAGAAGATAGAGCCAGCGAGATTTGAATCTAAGATTGCAGTATTTAAGGATACTCTCTCAAATAATACAGATGGACAAACAGCCGTACAGACAATCGAAGAGGACGAAAATGGGTTGATGCATACTTTAATAAGACACCCAGGAAAGAATCTAGAAAAGGTGAGCTTAAATATGGATTTATTATATCCAAAACAAGGAGAAGAATATTGCTTGGAAGAAATTTTAGCAATTACTAGAAGGTTAAGTAAAGTTTCATTAGCTTACGGAGAGCAGAAAAAGGTGCTACACGAGGCGAATACTCCACTTATGCTGCGTAATAATGTTGTCGATGAGAGTACTTTTTCTAAAGATAATACGTTCACAATACCATTGAAAGATGGTGGGTTTCATGAAGATGATGACACACATTTACCTTTCAAGCACAGACCTAACTCGCCTACAATGACAATGTTTTCTCGTATGGCAACTAATGAAGTTCTCACAATGTTTAATGATGCAGGTCATAATTTGAATACAGATGACGAGGATGAAAAAACAGAAGGCGAAAACACCACAAACTTTGATGGGTTTGTCACAGAAACAATCCATGCGATAACTCCTGAAGAAAAGAAGTTTAATCAACAACAAATTCCAAGTGAAAAAATTCATTTTAAAGAAGAAGAATTGAAGAAAACCATAACACCTCCGAGAGATACCAATACGCAAGTGACCGATAGTGTACAAAGTTCTCCTTTTATAGAAAAACCATCATCATCTGTTATCGATATAGAGCAGAAAATATTTGACCCCGTTGACGAGTCTCTAAGAGAACATTTATTAGACAATTTATCGACACCTATAATCTCATACCCTGGGTTTTGCAATTACTGCCATACAAAAATTAATAAAATCAAGAGATTCCACGATATAACTAATAATAAAACCAAGATAATCACTAAAGGTTCCAAAAATTCAATAATTGATTATTGTGGAGATGAAATTTATTGCCTAAGATATGAATTGGGTCATGGGGGGTACGGTGTAGTATATCTCGTCGAAACTGAAATGGGGCAGTTGAAAGCATTGAAGGTTGAATCTCCGTCATCAAAATGGGAGTATTATATTTTAACCAAAATTCACCACAGGCTCAGTATGTTCGATAGTAATGTTAGAGAAATGATAGTCAAACCGGAAGCGCTCTTTTTTTTCCAGGATGAAAGTTACTTATTAATGAATTATGTGAATCAAGGTACCATTTTAGACGTGATAAACATATACAAAAATAGAGGGTCAACTGCAGATGAAGTATTGTGTATATACTTAACAATTGAATTGTTGAAAATTATCGAGGTTTTACACAGCATAGGCATTATACATGGTGATTTAAAGGCAGACAACTGCATGATAAGATTCAGCCATTCCAAAGAGTGGAGCGACACATACAGCCGTAATGGTACTGATGGCTGGAGTAATAAAAGCATAACGTTGATAGATTTTGGAAGAGCCATTGATATGTCATTATTCAATCACAATGTTCAGTTCGTTTCCAACTGGGAGACAGACCAGCAAGATTGTCCGCAGATGAATAAACATGAGCCTTGGAGTTTTGAAGCGGATTACTACGGCCTAGCCAGCATTATTTATACTATGTTGTTTGGCAAATATATAGAGGTCAAAGAGTCTACTTCCGGTAGTGTATCGCTCAGTCATACTTTAAAGAGGTACTGGCAGCTTGACTTGTGGAATCCATTATTCAACTTATTGCTTAATCCATATTCTCTATCAAACAATTCCAGCATCAAATTGCCTATTACAGAAGAGCTTAAGTTTCAAAGACATCGCCTCGAAAATTGGTTAGAGGCTAACAGTTCAAAAAAGAACCTTAAGAATTCAATAAATGATATAGAGGTTGAATTGAACAATAACAATAAAAAGTTATTACATAGTCTACGTTAGACTTCTTGGGAGATTTCGGTTAGGTTACTAAATTAGCCGCATAAAAATGCAATGCCGAATATTATTGTGTTCAGTCGCCGGAAAAGCCTCGATATATTGAATATATTATTCGATCTGTTAATTAATCAAGGATAATTTAGCATGCTCATCGGCGCCTCGCATAAAAAGATTCTTTAGATAATTGGGTTATTTTTTATTGTTCCGATTGATAAATACACACTAATACAATACCGATTTCGGGACGTATTATAGTATAAAAATTCTTCAGTCTTCTTTTCGATGATTGTTTATTAAATTAGATATAATTGTATTGGTATATATTCGATAAATATAGAACATGACGCATGGAATATCGCTTTCGGTCCCAACTGTATTAAAACCAAAAACAGACAATGCAACTTCATTTACCACGAATATATTGGTAGTTGGGGGTGCGTACGCTGGATTATCAGCAGTTAGAAGTCTTGCATACCATTTCAACCGAAGAATAAAAGATCCGTTGATAAAGCTGAAGTTAATTAATAGCAGAGTATCGATTACGATGGTCGAACCTAAGTCGGGATTATTGAATATTCTCGGAATTCCAAGAGCTATAGTGGATGTGGATTTTGCCAAGACACAATATATTTCATTCGAAGACTTTTACGATTTGAAGTTCGACAAGGTTGTATCAAATCAACCGGAGGTGTTGAAGAACTTAGCCACAGGACAAAACACAGGAAACAATGAAGGTGGTTTTGAAATAAATTTTGTCCATGGAAGGGTTACTCATTTAGACGAACATAGGGCAGACTACCAGTTGGTTGAAAGCGATGAGACTGCCACTATTAACTTTGATTATGTTGTATTAGCATCTGGCAGGGATAGAAGCTGGCCAACAACCCCAAATGCCTACACCACTAAGTCCTATCTCGAGGAAATGACTAGATCAAAGAGCGAAATAGATTCGCACGACATTATATCCATAATTGGCGCTGGTGCTGTTGGTATCGAAATCGCTGGAGATATCAAACACTATTGCCCAAATAAAACTGTCAACTTGATGCACCCACATGAAACTTTCCCCCCTGAACCATTAAGCACCGAATTCCAGAGTGTAACATATAAATCTTTGGTTAATTCGGGAGTCAACATCCACCTCAATACTAGAATTCAGAAGGAATTGGAAAATGGTGATTTAGAAACCACGACAGGTGAAATAATAAAATCAGATTTGAACTATTGGTGTCATGCCCACCAAAACAATATTTCCATTCTTTCAGATAATTTAAGAAAAGAATTCGTTACATCTAGAAGCAACATTTTGGTGAACGAATATTTACAAGTTCTTAACAAGGACAAGAAACTTGATGCCTTTTTTTGTATTGGTGATATAGTTGAGTTGCCAATCATAAAAAGTGCTGGCTGGGCGATGTATATGGGCAGACTAGTTGCAAATAATTTGGTCAGTATGATATTAGATAATATTTTAATTGAACCGTTTCCTGATTTAACCCAGATGCCTCGTGGTATGGTCATAGTAGCTGGTAATGGTGAAATAGTGTCTGAATTAAGCGGAGAAGTCGAACTTAACCACAAGGGATACGTTGAAGAATATAGAGACTATTGTATAGGCAAAATTAGATCTACTATAGGTGTATAGTCATATTAATCTATAAAATACACTTCAAATAATATCTGATCAAATTCGCACGGCTATGCTCGTTTATTAAATTTCAATAATTGTTTATGGCGCTAAAATTCGTATTACTATTGTTCTTACCTAAACTTTACGTATCGCAAGGCTGTTAATGAATCAAACAGGAACCTCTGACAACCTGTCCCTTGATGTGCCTAGAGCTTCTCATGTTAGGAGAAAGAGAGGTCTTTCTTTGAGATCGCAGCTATTCAACAAAACATTGATACAAAGCCAAACACCTAATCAACCAAACCAAGCTTCAAGTTTGAATCCGTTTGCAAGGAATAATGACACACAAGCTCAAAATATAGATCAGCAACAAATACTGAATGAATGGGAGGGTGATTCTCGACAGCCTAATTTAATGGTGGGTAATTCTGGTATTATACCACCTCAGATCAATATTGATGAACCTGCGGAAGATAACGATTTAAAGAATAACACTCCCTATTCTATTCGGCAGCTTCAGTTAAGTAATTCAACGGTACAACTTACTATAAACTCCTCGAGATCTGACGAAGGTCGCAGGTTGCTCCATGAGAAGAGGAAACAAGCAAGACGTAACAGGGTTATAAAGCTTATGGTCAGATTGAAAAACAGGCTATTGGGCATTGATAACTTAAAGCCGACAGGTTATGGGAGGCTTATACCTTTAAGTGTAAACCGTTGCAACTTGAATAGCGACTTTCAAGATGAATTTTATGATGGCCATCACAAATCTTTGATTGATGAGAGAAATGGTGAGCCATATTGTAATAATGTGGTGACGTCGTCTAAGTATAATGCATTTACTTTCTTACCAAAACAATTGAAAGCACAATTTTCAAAAATTGCTAATTGTTATTTTATGGTAGTGGCAATCATGCAAATGATTCCAACATGGTCTACTACTGGTCAATATACTACGATAGTACCTCTATTGATCTTTATGTCGATTTCGATTGCAAGAGAAGGGTATGATGATTGGAAGAGACACCTCAACGATAAGGAGGAAAATAATAAGAGAACGACTGTCGTTAGAGAAGATGAAGATTTAAGTAATTTTGATACCCATTCCATAGCAACCATTATGACAGAAACTTTGCCAGTAAGTAACCCCGAGGGCAATAACATTTTTTTGTCTTCCAGTTCCTCTGCTTCAGATTCAGATTTGACCCCGCTGTATACAAATGTTGATTTATTAAAGAAATATAACTTGAAAGAGCACACAACCAGATGGAAGAACGTTAAAGTAGGAGACATTCTTAAAATCAAGGAAAATGAATGGTTTCCTGCGGATGTAATTCTTTTAGCAACAAGCGAAGAGATACAAGAAGCATATGTTGAAACTATGGCATTGGACGGTGAAACCAACTTGAAATCTAAAAGACCGCATTACGAATTATCGAAGATAATCTCGAAAGTCCCTGGATTAAAAAGCGCCAGAGCATTATTTACTGTTGAAGATCCTAACACTGATTTATACAATTTCGAAGGACAGTTTACTTTGAATGAAGAGAATTTTGCATTGGGACCTGATAATATTGTCTACAGAGGAAGCATTTTAAGAAATACCAAATCAGTGCTAGGAATTGTAACATTCACAGGCGAAGAGACAAAAATAAGAATGAATAACATTAAAAATCCAAGAACAAAAGCCCCTAAATTGCAAAAGAATATTAATTATATCGTGATCTTTATGGTTTGCGTAGTAGTATTGTTATCAGCATTTTCAACTATGGCTCAAAGATTATTATACAAAGAGAACAAACATAAAGCATGGTATTTATATGGGCAAGATGCTGGAGTTGCGCCAACATTAATGGGCTTTATTATTATGTATAATACTTTGATTCCTTTGTCTCTTTACGTTACGATGGAAATAATTAAAGTAATGCAATTATGTTTGGTTCAATATGATATCGATATGTATCATGTTGAAAGCAATACTCCGGCCGATGCCAAAACGGCTACAATTCTAGAAGAACTAGGGCAAGTAAGTTATATTTTTAGTGACAAGACGGGAACTTTGACAGATAATATTATGATTTTTAGGAAATTTAGTGTGTGTGGTGTAAGCTGGTTGCATGACTTAGATGTTAAAGCTGGAATCACAGGTGATGACAGCCAAACCAAAGGAAACGAAACTCATGCGTTACATTCGCCTACAAAGACAAGTTTCCAAACAACTATTAGGGATACTTCGCATACAAATAGGAAGCCTAGTTTTCAATCGGCATTGGAATATCAGCCAAGAAGAAGTACCACATCAATAGCTCGTGATAGTCTAGATATGAAGTCGTTTGAGTCAAATTGGAGATCATCAGCATTTCCAGCTAAATCTCAAAATTTACAAAATTCATTAGCCTTGCTAAGATATATTCAATCTCGCCCACAGACGATATTTGCTAAAAAGGCAAAATTTTTCTTATTAAGTATCGCATTGTGTAACACATGTTTGCCGAAACGAAAAGATACGAACAGAAAAAGCGAGGACTCAAACGATAATTTCTTAGAAGATGAAAATATTAAAGATGAGGATCTTGAATATCAAGCCTCTTCACCCGATGAATTGGCTTTGGTACAGGCTGCTAGAGACTTAGGGTTCGTCGTGTTTAATAGACTGCATAGTCAATTGATCATCAAATTATACCCAAACGGATTCGAAGCAGATCCAGTAATAGAAACATATGAAGTCCTTGACGTAATTGAATTTTCCTCTGCTAGGAAGAGAATGTCTGTTGTTGTTAAATTCCCTGATGGAAGAATCTGTATTATTTGTAAAGGGGCTGATAATATAATCTTGGAAAAATTAAGAAACTCTGAGCTAGCAAAACTGAAAGCGAAGGAAATTTCTCTTAATTCTGCTGATCGTAAAACACAAGAAGCAGACGCTGTATTACAAACGAAATTCTCCAATGAAATTGAGTCGAGGAACTCAATATCCTCGTTAAAGAGAAGCTTGCATATGCGAACCAATACAGAACCTAATGCACTAGCTTCAATTGATAATTATTTGGCCAATAATGAAGAATGTGAAATTGATGATATCGCATCTAAATCTAGGAAATCCTTACATGAGCACCAAGCAAAGAAATATAGTATCGATGTTACAAGCCATGGTGATACAGATATATCACACACAAGAAAAGTTAAAGACTTCAAGCAATTTATTCCTAACGATAAATTGCTTGTCAACGATGAATTTATTTTTGAGAAAACTTTAGAACATATAGAAGAATTCTCAACCGAAGGACTTAGAACATTATTATATGCCTTTAGATGGTTGGATATGAGAGAGTATGAAGACTGGTCCAATGAATATAGCGAGGCAAAGACAGCACTCTCTGACAGGGCCGGCAGAGTAGAAGATGTGGGAGGTCGTATTGAGAACAACTTTGAATTGTGTGGTGCAACAGCTATTGAAGATAAATTACAGAATGGTGTTAGTGAGGCTATTGACAAGCTTCGAAGAGCGGGAATTAAAATGTGGATGCTTACTGGAGATAAAAGAGAGACCGCCATTAACATTGGTTACTCTTGTAGACTAATCAAGGATTATTCTACGGTTGTTATTTTGAGTTCAGAAATAGGGAGAGAGTCATTGTCTCAGCTAGTTAGTTCAACAATCCATGATATACAAGGAGGGAGAATAGCACATTGTGTTGCAGTCGTTGATGGTGCTACTTTAGCTGATATTGAAAATGATACGAATTTAATGACGACTTTTATTGATTTATGTGTGCAAACTGATTCAACTATCTGTTGTCGTGCTTCACCTTCGCAGAAGGCAAGTATGGTGAGTGCTATTCGTAATTTGAAAAAAGATGCTGTAACTTTGGCTATAGGAGATGGTGCAAATGACATAGCCATGATTCAAAGTGCAGACATTGGTGTGGGAATTACTGGAAAGGAAGGATTACAAGCTGCAAGGTCAGCCGATTATGCAATTGCCCAATTTAGGTTTTTGTTAAAATTACTTTTAGTAAACGGCAGGTATAACTATGTTAGGACTGCAAAGTTTGTTTTATGCACTTTTTATAAGGAGTTGTTTTTTTACCTAACCCAAGCAATTTATCAAAGGAATACCCTATTTTCAGGATCATCCATGTATGAAAGCTGGTCCTTATCAATGTTCAATACCTTGTTTACTTCTCTTCCAGTTTTATGTGTTGGTATGTTCGACAAAGATTTGAAACCTGCAACCTTGTTAGCAGTTCCCGAACTTTATGCAAAGGGAAGGTTGTATCAAGCATTCAACTTAAAAGTTTTTATTTCATGGATGGCTTTAGCAACTTTGCAGAGTGTTGGTGTTTCATTCTTAGCATATTATGTCTGGGGGTTTACTGCCCTTCAAGATAACACCACTTTTCCGTTAGGGAATTTAGTTTTCAGTGCATTGATAATTGTTATCAATGCAAAGTGTGAATTGATAGAAATGCAGAATAGACAATGGTTGGCATTTGCAGCGTTTATCATTTCTGTTGGTGGATATGGTCTCTGGAATGTATTGATTATGGCGTTATACCGAACAAAAGATTCAACAATATACTTTGTTGCCTACGGTCTCACGACTTTTGGAAGGGACCAATCATGGTGGGCTTCTTTACTACTTTTGGCCATTATTCCTATACTTTTAGATACCCTATTTAAAGTTTTTAAGTTTATTTTCAATCCTAGTGATGACGAACTATTCAAAATGTTTGAAAAGGATATTGAAATGAGACGATTTTTTGAGGAAGAATCTTACGAGGAATTACAGCAAGGATGGACATTCGTAAAGGAAGAATCAATATGGAAGAGACGTGCAATTCTTATCTGGAAGGCAATTATTCGGAGATTCAGATCGCCAGACCAAATGTTTAATACAGGAGAAATTGAATTAGAAAATATGCCAGTTCATAGAAAAAGAGCCGGAACCGATCCAAACCCGACAGAACTTCCACCTGGTAGCGAGGGGACGGTTATTTATAGCGGTGATACTCAATATCACGAGTCATCAACATTCGATATTTTGCCTAGTGGTAAGAGGGTGAAAACCAATAAAGAGGGTGTCTGGAATAAATTGGGTTCAAAATTGGTATCCAAAAAAAATTCGAACAATGAAAGTGGCATGGCAGATGAAGAAGTCGACGCTATTATCGAGCAGAGGTTAAATGGGTTAAGAAACGAAGAAAGAATTTCTAACTGATTTTAAATTTCGATGGAGTTCATAGAAGGCGCATTATTATAAAAAAACGTATAGCATTTAGGATCATGAGCACCGTAGATTGTAACGAGTATTTAATTTTGACCCTTTACGTTCATTAAAGTCACTTATTTAAGGCAACTTGCAAAATGACAAACTCCATAGAGATAGTTATAGTGGGAGCTGGGGTTGTAGGGTTATCCACTGCATTAGCCGTAAGTGAGAATCTACCAATTCGTCATAAAATTACTATGATTGCAGACCATTTTCCAGATGACTCAGTGTATGAACCTGAATATACCTCACCTTGGGCAGGGGCCCATTTTAGACCGTTCCCAAGTAAAAATGAACACGAAGCAAGAGAATCAAAACTAACGAGGATAACGCAAGCCTATTTTAAGAAATTGGCTAAAACAAATCCAGAATCATCCATAAAATTTGTTAAAGGAATAGAATATATTGAAAAACCAGATTCTTATTACAAAAACCTTTCGAAAGGCTACATGGAAGACATTGAGAACTTTAAGGTATTGGATGAAAGTCAATTACCCGAGGGAGTTAAGTTAGGCACTTCCTATGATACATGGGTGCTCAACTCTCCAATGTATATTCAGTTTTTGCAAAGAAAATTGCGATTTGAATATGACGTCAAGTTTTTGAAAAAGAGATTAAACTCCTTGAAAGAAGTTAACAAATATGTCAAAAATGACCCAATTATAATCAATTGTTCCGGTCGTGGTTTGAAGTATGAAGGTGGCTATGATGAAGATAATTTTCCTATTAGAGGCCAAACTTTATTGGTAAACCCACCGGCTGAGAATCCGTATAAAGATAAGACCATAACTCATCAACTGAGCAATGGATTATGGACTTTTTGTATACCCAGACCATTGAATGGCGGTACAATTGTTGGTGGTACGAAGCAAGTTAATGATCTTACGAATACTCCAAAAGATGAAGATACAAATGAATTAATTCGAAGAGGTAGTAAATTATTCCCGGAATTGATGAAAGAAGATGAGAATGGAGAGAAATATTTTGATATCGTAAAAATTAATGTGGGATTTAGACCAGCTAGAAAAAATGGATTGAATCTAACAACTCAGAGGTATGATAAGAACATTATCATTAATGCTTATGGCGCAGGTGGAATGGGCTACGAATTATCATACGGAATCGGTTTTACAGTTAATCAGAGTTTGAAGAATATTTTAAATAAGTCAAAGCTATAAATGTTTAACCCTTCATTTAATTAATTATACTTTTGTTTATACTTAAATATTGAATGATACAGTAGAGATTAAGGTTGAAATAAATATAAATTAATGGTAAATAAATTCAAGTTTCAAAGAACTTGAAAACAAAAGTTGTAAAGGTAGCAGCTGCAATTAAACCACAAATCATATTAGGCCCAAATTTATCAGCATAATCGACCGGTTTCTTTTCTCTAATCATAAGAACTCTCCAAACATATTTGTAAGTGGAATAGGATAAAACAAATAAGGCACTAATGAAGAAACCGATTGATGCAGTTAAAGAACTCTTTCTACCATAATTAAGTAAGGCCATAGCAGTGGCTCCCAAAATCATACCAATAGATAACCAATGCAAATAGGTTCTTTCAGTCGCAAAATAAACCTTTGGTTCAATTCTTATTGGAATTGCTATCTTCTTATCTTTTGGAATTTTATCGGCAAAAGTCTTATTTAAATCGAAATTAGTGCCTGGTTTAACTGTGAACGATCTATCATCATTAAAATAATGCAAAAATTTACCATACATGTCCGTCAAGAAATTCATGACTGGGCTTTCAGATTCTCTCAAAGCGTAACTCGAAGGTAAAAGTAATGGAGTAGATTCATCCAAATCTTCTTCTAACGGGTTAATATCATTAGAAAAATGGACCGCACCATAACTAGGTGAAAACCCATCATTAACTAATAATTCTTCTTCATCCAATTCACCTCCTGAAGATGAAGACTTAGCTCTCTGTTGATTTTGTCTATTAATACCAAATTCTTGTATCTTTGGCTTTCGTATATCAACATCCATTTGTGGCAACCAAAATGGTAACAAATTCACATAGTCAGGTAATAATGACGCACCCCCATGGATAAACTTGGAGAATTTAGGTACGGCTTCTACAAGGTGACTTGTGACTAAATCTTTAACCCAAGCAGGTGGTTCTTGACCCAATTGAGTTTGCAATTTCACTTCCAAAACTGCATAAGGGAAACGGCAAATATCCTTCTCTTGTAATTGTGGGAATGGATAATCAACACCGATATCAGTCCTTCTCCAGTTGCCGTTAGTTCTATCATGGCCATCAAAATTATCTTCTCTGACCATTGATAATTCAGTATCTAAAGAAATACGAACTCTGGCATCACCTGGTAATTGGAAAGCAGTTCTATTATAAAATGACCTCATAACTGGTCTCATTTTGTCTTTTATAACCCGATATTGAACTTCTTTCGCCAAGTTCTCTAAGTTGTCTATCTCCTTAGTCGACTTCTTTCCGTCCTTTCTCATTTTTTCAAAAGCCTGAGAGGCAGTCAACTTACCCTTTAAGAATTCATTCACTTTCTTCTCCTTTAATACAAATCTGGCCTTGACAGATTTTTCACCGGTCCAATCTTCTCTGTGAGTTTTTCTTTCAACGAAAATTTGCTCCGATTTCATACCCCCATACCATCTCAATCTGATAGCTTCTGCACCTTCGTCTTTTCTTAATCTACCATAATACAAATCCATATTTTTGTTATCGAAGTAGATGGAAGTAATGGCACTGTCTTCAGGTTCGAATTCCTTGTCGGCGTTAAAGACTAAGACAGGTAAATGCTTTAAAATGACTAACTTCAATTCAGTGATATTATCTGGGTGAACCCAATACTTTGTGGTTTGTCTCACGAAGTTTTGTTGGCTGCCCCCAGCAGATGAATCACCCTTTACTGGGTTTCCCCTTGTTCTCACTAAGTCGTACAACTTGGATAACTTAACAATCAAATTATCATAATTATCCTTGTAAAATGGTTTAGCGTTTAATCTAACTTGGAAAATTGGTCTCAACGTGAATTTGGTGGTCTTATCATGTTTTTTCAAGATTTTTTGAAATCCAGTGTAGTTTAATCTGGTAAACTTAGCTAAATCGTGTACATCTGCAATGATATCAGACAATTCGCTTTCCAAATCCTCGAAATCTTGCTCTTGAGGTTGATTTGGATTTTGGGCATTCTGCAATGCTTCTACAACCTCATACACATACTTTTCCAGCTCCTTGATCCTTCTATTAACTTCTGTGTTCTTGACCTTGGTAAAAGAGTAAACCTTATCTAACTCAACTTCAAGTGCCGCTAAGAATTCTTCTTCAAAGTCATTGGTCCACTTGAAATCATTATTTTTCAAATTACTTTTCAACTGATGTTTCAATTCATCGTATGCAATATAGTAGAAACTATAATTCTTAATTAAAGCGTTTCTAAGATGTTCACCAAACTTCATACTTGTCTATCACTTCAATAAACAATTGGTTGAAGCGCTGAAATTTCTCGGTTAAATAGAAACGAACAAGTCAAATAATGCAAAATTTGATTATATATATATATGAATGAAGGAGTCTAATTTTAATTATGTCTAATATATGGCCCACGTGTGTTTCGTTATCAAGCTAATCACGGTAGCCGTACATTTAGGCACGCAGAAGAGTCGAACTCACGTCAAAAAAAAAAAGGTCGTACCCGGATTCGAACCGGGGTTGTCCGGATCAAAACCGAAAGTGATAACCACTACACTATACAACCTTGGATTCATCAGAATGGTTTTTATTGGAATTTATAATCAGTTATAATGGTCATTCTGCACTCATAGCATAACAATAGAACTAGTGTTTTAGTGTTTCATTGATTAGACATATCACATACTGCGAGATCGAAGTAAATATAATAACTCAATGGCTTGACCGGCCGGGTCAAAATGTGGCGATAACGGTGTCGTCATAATCATGAAAAATTCTAAATAAATATATGCACACTCTATCAAAAGATGTAACAATAAAGAAATAGCCCGAGATCTTGATTCGAAAAATTTTGAAGTAGGATTGGTATTTTTCAGGTATGTTGAAGAGTTGCACGAGACATGTTACTCAATTTGTGGGTAGAATAGGTAGAAATCAAATAAAGGAATTCCACAGTAGTGGGATTAGGACATCTGATTTCTCTCATGTTGTCATAGGAGGTGGGGTCGTAGGAACAGCCGTGGGGTCTGAATTGCAGGCTATAGAAGGCAACAATGTCCTTTTGGTTGAGCAGCACCAAAGTTTAGGTACAGAAACTACATCTAGAAACTCAGAAGTGATTCATGCAGGGCTTTATTTCCCCAAGGGCAGCTTGAAGGCCGAGTTGTGCATCAAAGGTAAAAACAAGCTATACGAAGCTTATGAGACAGGGAAGTTTAATTCGGTTCAGGTTCCTTTATCAAAGTGTGGGAAATGGGTCGTAGCGCAAGATGAGGCAGAAGGCGAATATTTAGAAAAGTTGCAGCAAAATGCAAAAGAACTAGAAGTTCCAACTGAATTGATTTCACCTGAATCGGCAAAGAAAAAATTTCCATTAATAAGGGCTAGTGCAGGGATCCTTGAATCACCAACTACGGGTATTATATCTGCCCATGACTTGGTATTGTATTTCCAAACTCAATTTGAGAATAATGAGGGAACCATTGGTCTTAATACACAATTAATCGACATAGAATATAACAGATCTATCCCAAATTATTGTCTCAGATTGAAAGAAAAGGAGTCTGGAAGTGAATTTGAAGTTACTACTGATAACTTAGTTAATTCTGCAGGACTTTATGCTCAAGAAGTTTCCAATTTATTATTGCCTGAAGATAGGCAACTAAACAGCTACTTTGCTAAAGGGACCTATTATGGCTACCAACCAGCAACCCCAATAAAATCAAGCAAAATCACTGAAAAATTGATATATCCATGTCCAAATCCTAATGCCTCTTCGTTAGGAACTCATTTGACATTTGATTTAGGTGGACAGTTGAGATTTGGTCCTGATTTGGAATGGCTTGACATAAAGAGTGCTTCCGAAATAGACTATTCAGCAACTTCTAAAAACATTAATGAGGCAGTAAAAGCTATTAGGCAGTATTTTCCTAGTATTGAAATAGGTGATATACAGCCTACCTACACTGGAGTTAGGCCTAAGATCGTTTCTAAGACAGAGAACTATCGAAGATTTTCTGATTTCATTATTCGAGAAGAAGATGATTTTCCTGGATTTGTCAATTTATTGGGAATTGAGAGTCCTGGTTTAACATCATCCTGGGCTATAGCTGAATATGTTAAAAATATTTATTATAAATAATAATAGAGATACATTCTATAACTACTATATTTTCCTTTTCTTATTTTCAGGTTCTGAATCTTCCTCTTTACCGTTACTTTTCTTAGGTAACTGCAGTGGGTCCGTTGCTCTTGGGAATTCAAGAAAGTACTCATGCAACAACGCTTGCGTCAGGTCACATCTTCTGTTAGGATCCAATTGAGTCATAAGAATTAGCAAGTCCAAAGCTTTTTCTGTGGCAGCACTAAATCTATTTCTTAATTCTTGTCTTGATGGGGGTGGGTAAATATGTAAAGCATTGTATAATGGCAAATTAGAAACGTTCGGCCATATTTGTTCTGTAGGTGTACCTAAAGCTCTGAAAGTTACGTCTATTTGATCAATATCATCTTTTCCTGGTAAGTATGGAGTACGCAACATTAGTTCTGCAAATATTATTCCTATAGACCAAATGTCAACTGCAACTGTGTAATGCCTAGCACCAAACAATAATTCTGGTGCTCTATACCATCTAGTAACAACATTCGACGTTAGTAATTCGTCTGCATTTCCCAACGATCTTGCCAACCCAAAATCTGCTATCTTTAATTCACCATCTGGTGCTAATAACAAATTATTCGGTTTTAAATCTCGATGTAATATAAAGTTTCTATGACAATGATGAATACCTCTTAAAGTCATTAGTAACCATGATTTTATATCAGATGGTTTGAATACAATAGATGTATCTTTTATTAATACTTCTAAATCACAAGGCAAAAATTCTAACACCAAGTTGAGGTTATTTGTTGTCAGGAACACATCTACCAATTCTATCACATTAGGGTGTCTTAATTCTTGTAAGTATTTTACTTCCCTTATAGCAGACATATCAAGACCATCCTTAAATAGCCCTGTCTTTATTTCTTTTATTGCAATTTTACGTTTAGTAGATATTTGATTACCCAAATAAACAACCGCATAGGTACCTTCACCAACCTTGCGGTCTTTCGAGTAGTTTAAAGGAACAATAGAAGGAGATGACACACTTGTCTTCGCCGTTGTAGCTACTTTCGATGCCATTATACTTAAATTAAAAGCATTTGTAGGCTAACTATAAGTGAAAAGAGTTGATATATACTTTTGAAATTATCACGTGATGTAATCGATACAGTTAATGCAAAAAACATGTATAAAGTATAAAAATCAATTTAAAAAAAAACATAAAAAGGGGTTCAAGGCGCTTGATATATGCAAAAATTATGTTATTAATAATCAAGCAATGATGTGAATAAAGTTCACCATAAAACAGACTGAATAAATGGAATAAATTTAAGGTATGTAAAAATAACAAATGCAGGAAATCAATTAGTTACAGTGCCCATTACACAATCCCATTGGGCAAAGACGTACCAGCTGTTCCCACTATCACCTATGACTAGTCCCCTATAGAGACCAACTTCTTGACACTTTACATTGCTTTCATAAGCTCCAAATGGTTTTGTAGGATCAGATTTGTTTAACTTGAAGTACTTACCGGAAGGAGATTCGATGACAATCTTAAAATCTTGATTTACCAAGTTGCTAAGACTGTTGATTCCTCCTGATGGATATTGCCAAATTTCGAAATTATAAGCATTCTTTACAACAATTTTGCTTGTTTGAGGTTGTTTAATATATAGATCGTTATTCTGGCTCTGAACAGTAGGATACCTTGGCACAAATTTACTTGGTTTATAAATGCCTGTGTGATATAATGGAATAACAATGGATAACTCGTGAACATTATCGAAATGCTTTTGTAAACCTTTTTCCCCAGCGAATATTTGCAACACACCAATTGATTCTTTTTCGGGTAAAAGGGCCTTGATCTTAGCAATTCTCTTAGAGTTAGACCAGAATATCTGGCATAAACTTAACTCATTGGTCGTAACCTTTGCAGTTTTGACCAAGGTAAATAGTTCAACATCGGATGGAACTTCTAATTCTAGCTCGAAAAATTCTAGGTCCTTTAGTCTTGTTAAGGCATTATTGAAGTTCCTATAACGTAATCTGTTCTTATAAAAACCAGAATAGTTCCTTGGCAAGTAAAATGCAATACTCTGGTCAATTGGTGGAACCACATGCTGTAAATCAATAATAGATGGTATGTGTGTAGATACTAAATTTAATGGTTCAGTCATGAAATAATACTCGTTAAACCCTTTCCCATCTTCACGAATATTACAGACAGATCCATTTTGAAAACAATAGATATCTATAATATGAAATTGGTTATCGATTAAAATTGATAACCAACAATGATTGACGACGTATTGTTCATTATGATAAAATTCATTAGGCTTTTTCCAAAAACCTAACACAATTTCAGATGGAATTCTCAACGCATCGAGAAGCTTTTTGAATATGTAGTTCAACTGATAAACTGAAGCTTCACCTTTATACAAGACTTTATTTAACTTGGGTTTAATTTGCAGAATTTTACCAGGCTCCTCAATAATGTGAAACTTACATAAATGAAGTAGTAAGCATCTAACCTGATTAAGCTTTGATGAATTAAATTTAACACTGATATCAGATATTAATTCATTAAGGTCGCTTGATATTTCATATTTTTCTATGAAAGAATCAATCTTTTTGAATGGAATATCTGAAATGTCAAGACTGGATGGAGAATCCATATCTCCGATTGTTTCGTTCGTATTAATCTCAGATATATAGTCTAATGGCTTAACAATCAATGATCCCTCTTCTCTAACAATTCTTCGTGTTCTTAATTGTTTATCTTGGGAAGTTAACGAATTCATTCTATTCAAATCCATTTTCAAGGTCGCCCAATCAATCGACTCTTCGTTTTGAAACCTTTGTTCTATAGGATTCATAATCTCGTCTTCCTTTCGTTTTTGCAAGAATTTTTTGAAAATGTTTGGATGTCTTGACTTTTTATCTTGAAATATGGAATCTATTAGTTGCTTGTTATTAATATCCTTTAGTTCCCCATTAAGTTCAACATTGTTTTCATCATCATTATTATCGTGGATAGATAAATTCTTCATTTTTAATTCTTGTTGATACCGCAACTCTTTATCATACTTATGCCTAATAAAGGACCCTGCACTAGTGGCACTTAATTCAGACAAGTTCAAAACATCACTTTGTAAAGATTTAGTCGAGTTTTTTAACTCTTCATGGTGTAATTGTGACAATCTAAGCATTTCCTCGTCACTTAACTGAATTCTGTTTTGACTATTTCCTGAAAATCTAAAATCGTCTGCATCGTAAGGAACATTCCTGACATAACTATCTCTCATTTGACTTTGTTGCATACCTCTCTCTTCATTCGGTTGTGAAATATGGTACGATTCTTGTACCGGTTTTCTTGATTTAACATATTTAGGAGGTGGTGGTGGAGGTGGCGACCCAAATTCTTCATCCTCGTCCTCTTTATCATATTCATCAACTAAACCTTCATCAGTATTAAGTTTTGTTAGCTTTCTACCCAAGTCATCTTTAGATTGATAGTTCTTTTTTGATGATAATAAATCTTCGCTCACATAGCTAGAAGTCATTGAATTATCATAAACCCCATCACCTTGTATAGCTTTTGAGCGATAAGGAGAACCTTTCACATTTGGGTAAGAATTTTTTTTCATTTGCTGTTGTTTGGACTTTTCCAATTCTTTCAATTGTTGTAATTCTAATTCCAATTGCTGCCTCTTATATGCGATTTCATCATAATTGTCCTCAACCGAAATATTAGCCTTTTGAGGTGTTTCATAGCAATCTTCAACATATTTATTTTGAACATATTTTTGAGGTTTTGGAGATACTTCCGGTGAGAAACTTTCAATCGTATGATTATTGAACAATTGAAGATTATTCTTACCATTTTTCGGAGATATAAATTTACCATTCTGTGGACTTTCCTTACTTACTAATGCCAGACTTGAAAAGTTACCGCCGTTCAAAACAGGAGCGGGTGTTTGAAAAACCTGCGACTGTGGCCTAGGCTTGAATTGTTTCACTCTAGGCTTCGATGAGGGTGATGTGTGATAAATGTCTGGTGAGATTGCAATTGAATTCCTATAGTTGTCTTGCAGTTCCAATTGTTGAATCTTTTTAATATGATAGTGTTGCTGTTGCTGTAATATTTTAAATTTTTCTATTTCTTTTTCTCTTTGCAACACTAAATCTTCTTGGGAATGGCTAGAATGCATATGTTTATTCTTTGGATGATTTGTATATGACATTAATTTCGAAGACGATCTGCTCTTTCTAGGATTAGGGTTACTACTTCTTAAATTTCCATTACCAAACTCAATAGTATCATAACTGCTGTTATAATGATAATTATTTTCGTCGTCATAGTCATACGACATGTCTGCTTTTGTAACACATTGTGATCTGTTTGGCAGATATCTTGCAGAATAATTAGCTTTTACAGGAGTATTACTTTTGCTTGATCTATATCTCACGTCGTATTCATGGTCCTGTATGGGTGTCTTCTGCTTCAATGGGGTGTTCGGTTTTGTAGGGGTATTAACAAGAGATGTAGAAGACGAATTGTGTCCCAATTTGTCCTCTATGATCTCCACATACGCTTTAGGGAATATACCCTCAGCACCGTTTCTTCTCAATTTCCCATTCCACCAACTATCATCTACGACTGAGTAAACTTCGACAATTTCATTTTCAATGAATCCCAAGTCCCCGTCTTCTTCACCAGCCCATGAGATCTTGGTTTTAACCTTAAACGGTAAGGGTGGAATAGACATCAACGGCTATTATTGGTATTGTATGTTTGATGAAACTTAAAGATATGCAGACTGTGAAAGTTGTGATTTGCTTTTACAGTTACTATGGTTTACCAGTAGTATTTCTTCAAGTCTAAAATGAATGCTGTGATGCCTGCAATAATAAATATAATTAAACCACTTTCCCTTAGAGCTAACACTTTTTTTTACTGAAGAAAGCCTCGTCCAAAAATGTGTTACAGTTCTATACTTATGCGGCTAGAAATGATTTACTAAAGGATGAATATTTCTATATTTGCTAGCGAACTAAACCTGCTAGACGTTTGAATCATACTGCATGCCAAATTAGGAAATATGTAAACATCGACGATTTCTAGAAGGATTTATTTCACGTGATTTATTTATATTCATTTGGATATAGAGTGTTGCATTAAAGACTATAGGATATAACTACAATAATTTTATATAATATTAGAAGAGAAACAATGTAGATAGTCTAGTAAATTTTCTATTGTTGTTGGCGAACTCCACTAACGATATCATCAACCCTCAATAATAAACAAGCACTTTCAATACCAGTTTTGATAGATTGTTGCTTGATAACTTCCGGTTCCCAGATACCGTAATCGTTCATATCGACAACCTTACCTAAATCACCATCAATACCAAATGTGTGTTCACCCTTGGCGTGTTTAGCTCTTAATTGTGATAAGATTCTGATAGGATTGGCACCACAGTTTTGGATTAAAGTTCTTGGAATAACCTCAAAAGCGTCAGCGACGGCCTGATAAGGCCATTGAGCAACTCCCTCAATCTTCTTTGCTTTTTCGGACAATTTAACACTCACAGCCATTTCTGTTGCACCACCACCTGGAGACAACGAAGGCTCGAACATCACATTTCTGGCAACCGCCATAGCATCATGCAAGTTTCTTTCAATTTCGTTCAAAATATCCTTCGATGGACCTCTTAATAAAATGGTACAGGCTTGAGGATCTTTACATTTGACCAAGTATGTGAAGTACTCATCACCGATTAATTCGACATTGAATAAACCACATCTAGTACCAACATCTGATTCCTTCAAGTCTTCGATTCTATTAACAATTGTAGCACCACAAGCACGGGCAATTCTATTATTATCAGATTTTTTAACTCTTCTTAATGCAGTAACCCCACCCTTTAATAAATAGTGTTGGGCCAAATCACTTACACCCTTTTCAGTCAACACCAAATCTGGCTTGAGTTGTAATAATTGATCACAGATGAGCTTGACTTGTTCTTCTTCAATCTGCAAAATTCTATTCCAGTCTTCTTCCTTTGTAATTTCGATATTAGTTTGTGATTCACCCTTTTTGTATTCTAATGGACAATCCAATAATATAATTCTTGGGTTTTCGATACGTCTTTTCATCTTTGGGTGGGTGACATCTTTATTCAATAAAATACCATCTAACACCTCACTATCGGTGACTTCTCCACCTGGTAACTTTTCAATTCTGACATATCTCTTGGTATCAATTTCTTTGTAATCACCCTTTTGAACACGCACAGTTTTCACTGCCTTCAACGATAATTCACACATTTTCTGTGACCATTGGTTAACGTACTTGGTTCCGATTGATGCTCTGATCAACTTAATCATTGCCTCTTCGTTTTCGATATCAACTGGGACAGACACGCTGTGAATGATTTCTAAGGCATCGCTCAACGCCTGTTTCAAAGCCTGGATAATGATCACTGGATGTATGTTCTTCTCAATATATGGAAAGGTTTGTGCTAAGATTTCTCCCGCTAAAATAATAACAGTTGTAGTACCATCTCCTACTTCTTCATCTTGTGTTCTACTTAATTCAATCATTGATTTTGCGGCTGGATGGGACACATCAATTTCTCTTAAAATAGCATGACCATCATTAGTTAAGACTATACCTCCCATAGGGTCTAATAACATTTTCAACATTGCTTTTGGTCCTAAGCATGTTCTAATAATGTCAGCAACCGCTTTGGCGGCGGTAATATTAGAGATTTGTGCTTGACGTCCAGTTTCTCTCTTTGTGGACGCATTCATATATACAACAGGGGCCTGCATCTTTGATTAATTTTCTTATGCTGTCCTATTCTCTTGATTCACTGCTATGCTGTCAATTATCGAAGAATACTTTGCTAACTATTGATTGATTTGAAAAGTACCGTCGCCGTTAATTTTTTTACTCGCGGTTTGGTTTGGATTATGTAATCACATTGAATTTACCACTATAAAGCATTGAAGTACATATATATCAACATTACGGGAAGCAATTGGATTGCAAATAGGGTGATATGCTTTGATGTTGATCCCCTATTAGGATGGTAAATCTTTTGTGATTTTTTATTAGTAGAATAACTAGAAATATGAATTATAGTACTGAACATGTAAATATTTGTATATAAACTGTAAATGTTTGATGTATTTAACCACTGTACCTAAAGCTTCCATCATATTTATACCATTAAGCAGCGGCTATTGAGAAACACGGACGATATGGAGTATATGAATGCTAATTTTACTTCTATTAGAGATTTGGAGAATATTGATGATAAGATTAGCGAACTTGAAAGTCTTAAGTTGAAGATAAATGAGGCAGTAAGAGCCAAAGTATCAGACGACTCAAGATCAGGCTCGATTGTGTCCACAAGATATGAAGAAGAGAAGAACAAAAGAGTAGAGGAGGTGTTGGAAGGACTAAACTTGTTATTAACTAAACCGGATGACGAAGCATTGGCACAAATAGGCGAATTAAGTGAACAATATGGAAATCTAGCAGTGTTTGATAATGCCCGTCAGTTATATAAGAGGAAACTGGAATTGAAACATGGGATGGCATTTTTGCAAAAGGCTAAACTATTGGAGACAGAAATTGAAAGTCTTGTGATAGAAGACTTGTCCAAGGTACTACAGGCTAAGGATGGTCTCCAATCACTTGCCAGCGAACATGAGACTATACCTATTAATGTCAAAGTGGTCGAACAATTATCTGAAGCGTTAGATAAGAAAATTGATGATTTTAGAAAGAATCTTGAAGACGAATTCAAAAATTCGCTTGAAGAGATTAAATGGTTGGCGCCTAAATTCGAGAAACATCCAATACCACAAGCAAAAGTGGCGTCAATACATACATATATGTCTAAATTATTTGAGCTACAAGCAATTAATAACACACCTGAATATCCTGAAACATGGTGGGCAGTTGATATACTTTTAGAACCGATCATTGTACGTTTTAATTATCATTTCAATACAGCCAACAAAGAAACAAACAAGCTCTCTAAACCCGAATGGGCTCTTAGTTTCATAGAGAACTTCCTTTCAGAGAACATGCTGTACTTGAAATTGGCTATAGGGGATACAATCAAACCATTTCCTAGAATTATTGACTATGAAATTATCAATACATTATTGAATCCAGTAAGGGAAAAAATGTTCAACATGATTGACTCTATAAATGAAAACATTGCAAAATTAGAGGAGCAAAAGGAAAATAGAGAAAAGAGTGGTAGGATTTTATCGCATTTAATTTTTGAATTATCATCCTTTGACCAGAGACTTAGGAATGTTTACAAATTCAACCCATACGTGAAAGACATTGCCATCGCACCCTCGAAAAAATGGATGGGCTTAACCGGCGACATATTATTGCATGGAGATAATGAAGATTTGGCTGCTCTGAATTGGTTGAATTTTGAATTCGAATTAGCCACGGGGAGATTCAATACTGAAATTATTCAGTCAGAAAAAGCATTCAAAATAGATTTTGATTATCAAGCTTCACAAGAATCTAAGACGTTTCACGAAAGACTTCTCAAACCAACGTATTCAGCTTATAATTTAACAAAACTTTTTAACAATTTAACGAGTCATCACAAAACTTTAAACATTGTTAAGTATCAACTAAAATATGTTTCAAATATTCAATTAAAACTAATTGATTTATACCATGATAAATTGAAACAGCTATTGCGTAGCTTTAATGATTCTTTTAACCTGAAGCTAGTATTAAACTTTATCCCAGGTGGATTAGGTAATGACAATAACACAAGTGCAGACTCTAATAATACGAAAAACGGATTGAAAGGTTTAGAAATTTTAACTGAATTATACTGCCTGACGAAATTTATAAGCAATCATTTAGAACAATGGAGTGAGGAGCTTGTCTTTATTCAACTTTGGAATTCTTATAAATCCATCAGTAATAAGACCCATGCATTTGACCTGACAATATTTGATAATTCCATGAGTGATTTCCAGACACTTTTATCAAAGATTTTGAACAATTATGAACAATTCTTTAGAAAAGAAATTAAAAATTCGTTAAAGAGCTATGTTAATTCCAGCCAGTGGGATATTAGCGCCAGTAATAATCTCGAAGCTTCTTCCGATCTTTCATTGCTAGTTAATAACCTTCCGATATATATGAGCTACCTAGAAAAATGCCTATCAGATTTGGATTACTACTTGATCACCAATATGATAGTCACATTATTATGTGTGGTTTTGCGTGAATTCATTATTACAAATAATCAATTTAGTGCTACGGGCATTAAACAATTGAAGATTGATTTTGAGTTTATTATAAGCCAATTAAAGCACTCTTTACTTTTGTTGCTGTCATTGAACGATTATTCAAATATTAACAATACAGAGTACCTAAAAGTAAATGAGTCAATAGAGTTTTTGCTAAAGATTGATTCTCAAACTGCAAAATTATACAAAAATCATTATGATAAGATACCAGAATTAAGGTCGAAGTTTGATGGTGAATTGAAACATTTATCCAATCATGAAATAAATGATTTGGTTTTTCGTATTTTATAGATCTGTCAGAAATAGAACATTTTATTTTTAATGTATTCAGTAGGCAGATTACAAGATCGCGTAACATAACAGAGTGAAAAATTGTAAACAAAATCAATTACAGTATATAACAACAATGTCGTTATCTCGAAAACGAGTAAGTAATTGGATTAAGGAAACAGTTTAATAGGATAATCTCTAACTTATTTAGCAAAATGGTTATATTTCTGACGAAGGTTTGTCTGGACTTAAAAGACAAGCATTCGGTTATAAACCTATAGCAAGGTTATATAATGTTAAACCTGGCCAGCAGCATATGAGTATTCCTAGAAAAACAGAAGATGTCTTTATTGGAAGAAGTAGTTCATGTGATGTTAGGATTAATGGGAATGATGTTTCTTCCAAGCATTGTAAATTGACATTGACTATAAACAATAATCGAGAATATTTATGCATAAATGACCTAAGTTCAAACGGTACCTATTTGAATGATGAAATCATAGGAAAAGATTCCTCTATACTACTAAGAAGTGGAGACAAACTAGATTTTGCAAAGACGGGAGGATCATATATATTTCGGTACATTTTTGATATTAAAAATACGACAGCACAACAATCAAAGTCATTTTTTGATGATTATATACTAGGTGAACAACTAGGTTCAGGGCATTATGCTGTAGTTAAAGAAGCTACGGATAGATCTACGGGAGATGTAGTAGCTGTCAAAATTTTCCACCCTAACAAAACTAGTGGTCAAGGAAACGAGAACGATGATGCTAAACTTCAACAAGAGATGAGCTTATTATTGTCTATAAATCATCCAAACATAGTAAGATTTATATCTCATTATGTGGAACCGATTAATCAATACTCGGTAACATCGTACTTAGTGTTAGAAAAAATGAATAATGGAGAATTATTTCAAAGAATTATAAATAAACTGAAATTAAGACAAGACGAAACGAAAGCTATTTTCAAGCAACTTCTATCAGGATTAAGATACTTGCATGAAAATAGTATTATCCATAGAGATATAAAACCAGAGAATATACTTCTTGATATTACACCAAGAACATCAAAGCATCAACAGAAAACAGGGCCATGGGATGATAATGAATATGACATAAAGGTTAAAATAGCTGATTTTGGACTTGCAAAATTTATTGGTGAACTAAAATTCACGAACACGTTGTGTGGAACTCCAGCATACGTTGCACCAGAGATATTGAGCAATAAGAGAAACTATTCCACGAAAGTAGACTTATGGCTGAGTGGAGTCTTATTATATGTATGCCTTTGTGGATTTCCTCCATTTAGCGATGAATTGGGGCCACCAAATATGCGGGAACAAATACTAACCGGTAAATATGCATTTTTTTCACCTTATTGGGATGATATCAACGATTCCGTATTGCACTTGATCAGTTCATTATTAGTGGTTGATCCAAATGAAAGATTCGATGTCGTTCAAACTTGTGAGCACTATTGGTTTAACGAGCAAGATGGTACCTGTGACCAGATGGCAAGTAATGACGAAAGTGTGCAAAGAACTCCAGTGAGGTCTAATAGTCTGCCACTTAGTTTAAGAGATAAATACAATTCTGAAATTATGAGCGACACTAACCAAAAATCTTCGATTACGTGAAATTATGTACAAGTATATAGAAAGAGGTTTATAAATGGTAACTAGGTAATGACTTTATAGATCCACTTCTAGTAGTAAAGAATAAATTTAAAAGTGATTCATTTGTTTCCATGGCTTTTTGCATATCCTTAGGAATATTCTTTCTATTTCTAGCTGCATTTATCTTGTTATGGACCGCAACTAAGTTTCTATATATTCCGTCCGCTTGAACGAGATTCTCCAAATTAATGAAACAATCAAACTGACCTATCATACAAGATAAATCATTACTACTCTCTACTCCAAGCTTAAACCATTCAAGACTTTTAGAGTAGTTTTTAAAAATATTCATTTCCAAAAAGCCTAGTGATGGGAAACTCTCTTTCAATCCTTTACTGGCTGATATCTCCAAATGATATTTTGATAAAATTGGATCCGTCATAGAATATAACTGACCTAAGTAATAATGTGCTTGAATAGTGTACTTGTCCAATTCACCAAATTTAATACTCTTTTTCAAGTATAATTCAGCTTTTGTTAAATCGGGTCTAGGTTTCAAATAATTGAAGTAATAAATACCTAGGTTTGCATAAACTTGACTTGCTAATATTGTATTCAGCTCTAGCTCAATAAACTGCAACCAGTAAACCTCTGCCTGATTATGGTAGCCTTTCTTGAAGGCTAGGTCCCCAGCCATCTTGAAAACTAATGGATGCTTCAATTTGGTTAAATTATCAATCAAAGTATTGGCATACTTATAATCTTCTTTCGAAGTTTCCTTATTTTCAATGGATTCAAATGCTAATATAGTTATAGCATCGTTATTACCAAGTTCTGCAGCTTGTTCAACTAATTCGTTCTCAAGCAGTACCAAATTCTTATTTATTGAATTGGTGGTTGATCTTATGGAAGCAAGTATTTGTTTACATAGCATTAAATCATTACTCTTGACGTATTTTGGTAAAATAATATTTTCCGGTGTTTCAATATTTGAATACACAGAATCCAATATAGGTATAACTTTCTTATATGATAGTCTACTATCATTGTCGAAAAGAATCTTGTTTATAGTTCTTTTTCCAGGTAAGAGACTTAATAATTCAGGTCTATTTTGCGTTGAGCTCGAATTCCAGCGTATTTTCAGAGCTGTTGTTAGCCCCTTAGACCTACAACCCAAATTTCTAATCATAAACACTTCTACAAGCATATAAAATGCAAGCTTCAAGAGTCTGATTATTCAATTTTTAATACATGTATCACGTGATGTATTCTTTTGTATACAGCTGCAAAAACGTTATAATGTTTATATCTATAGTAGAATTATAACGCAACAAAGGGATATATATGACTTAAATTAAATGAATAGAGAAGAATAATATTCAATATTTTCAGATACTTCTTTTCTTTCTAAGTACCTAA